TGAGGACGAGGGGCGTAGCCTGGCTGGTGGTTAGCCTGAGTTACCGACTGGTGATATTGCATGGGTTGACCGTAGCGAGGGCGAGGTGCGCCTCGGGAAGAATTTCCCTGATGGTTAGACTTGCGTTTCTTGTATTCTTCGGTAGCCTCTTTTCTGGCATCCTCAAGTAGAAGTGCCTTGTTGATCATATGTTGAAAAGTGGGGAAATCATGAGCAAGCAACTGGAGTCTCATTCCAACTGCGATCCCTTTCAAGAATTTCCTGATCTTCTTCTTATCTGTGTCCACTTCTTCAGGGGCGTACCGAGCTAACTTGTTGAACTGACTTAGGTACTCATTGACACTGCTGTTGCCTTGCTTAAGTCTGTTGAATTCTTCTTTCTTCATGTCAATAGTGCTTTCAGGCACATGAGCTGCACGGAAAGCCGTAGCAAACTCATCCCAAGCAATGTTAGTGGGTTCAGGGTGTGCATTGCAGTAATTCTCCCACCAATCTGCAGCAGGTCCTCTTAGCTGGTGAGAGGCGTAGAGTGTCTTCTCAACAGGAGTACACTGCACAAAGTTGAGTTTTCTATCAACATCTTTCAACCAATCGTCAGCCTCGACGGGCTCGACGGTCTGAGAGAACTCTGGCGGACATGACCTCAGAAAATCTGTCAGCTTGGATCTATTGTTGCCCACGTGAGGGTGGCCATTTCCATGCGCATTATGCTGAAAACTGGCTATGGCTGTGGTTAGTCCTTGCAAGATTTGTTTCCGAACTGCCATTATGTGTTGCATGTTGTTTTCCACATGAGGTGGGGAAGGGAGGCGTTCTTCTCCAGAATTGTGACTGGCAGTGCGGTGAGAGCGGTGAGACTGTCCCATCTCTGCATCATGGGAAACTGTGCGATGCGAGCGGTTGCTGCGGCGGGGTTGCCCAACCTCTGCGTTGCGGGAAACAGTACGGTGCGAACGGTTGCTGTGGTGTGACTGCTCATTAGCCGACTCATGATTTTCTTCTGGCTCAACTCTACCATCTTCAAAACCAAAGCGGGCTGGTGCACGGGCTGCACGGCGGGGGCGGCTAGCCATCTAAACTCCCAGAAGAGGGCGAGGTAAGAGTCAGACAAGCACTTAGGAGGGCAAGGAGCAAGGTAAATAGCAACTCAGATAGCACACACTAGGCATAAACTGGATTTTTCAAATCATAAAAACACCTGATACAACGGGTGTGGACAAGTCACAGAGCTACGCCGAGCTTGACTGTGCGCACACCACCTAGGAGAACCAGACTACCAAACAACACCCACAACAACACACGCACGCACTACCTCGCCACGACTCCAAAAGAGTTGGCGGCGGAACAAAAGGGGCCTAACCTCCCGCCGGCCCGCGTGGCTGCCACGTAGGCGCCACGTCGGCGCCACCTCGGCCGCGACCGGATAAGCCGACCCGGCCAGCTGCGCCCTCCGTTTCTCCCCGTGCGTGTGGTCCGCGGTGAGCCGTGAGGCTGCGCGTGGGCCCGCCGCATCCGTTCCTCCGCGAACCGCGCGCGTGCACCGCGTCCCAGCCCCGCCCGCGCGCGTACGCCGCATACTCCCTCCGCACGGTGAGCCGAGCCGCTGACAAGCGGGTCCCACCCGGGACCACGCGTGGTGAGCCCGGTCCACCGGCTCCCCCTCCCGCGCGCGCGCGCTTGGGCCGGCCGGTCCGTTGAGCTCGGCCGAGCCGCCCCAAATCTCTTGGGCCGCACCCTAGCCACCCGAGAAAAGTCTATATTCCCTCCCTCCCATCTTTTCTTTTTCTTTTCAAAAAAAAGGATTTAAATAAATCCTTTTTCCTTTAGACCAAAAATCCAATAAATCTTAGAAATTCAATATCTTCCCAACCGTAAATCCGATTGACTCCGTTCAACTTCCAAAATTCCTCAAATCTCGAGATCTATCTAATGGCACGCTTAGAGGTCATTAATAGGGCTTTATTTTCGCCGTTTGTTGAGTTGTCCCGTTTCGCGTGTAGTTTCGGAGCCCGAAGACCCGCAGTGCGAGGATTTCGAGGATCAAGCTCCGGATCGCGAGCAAGGCAAGCCACCTTTGAACATCTTGAGCCTATATTTGAAATTTAATTATATTGCTTGCGAAATATTATGCATTGATAGGATCACACTTAATCTGTTGTCCCGTCTGCAAGGCAGATTGGCAGACCTACCTAATTTGTTACATTTGATCCTTCCATTGATAATTGTTATACCATGTCCCCTTGTAACCACCCAGTTGCACCTCGATATTCGTGCACTCTGTGCGAGTATCGACGGTCGCCTTCAAACTTAAAATCTGAGAAACAACTTGGGTAAAACTGGAGTTTTACAAAAGACTTGGAAAACCCGACACCTGGGTCGGTGCTTGCGAACTAAATGAATTTCCAAAACCGCGGACCGGGGAACGTACCGGGTGTACGGTTTCCCGCTCTCGCACTTAAGGACCGATTCCTTGGAATTTCATCCAAACATAAGACAAGTACGACCACATAGGTGGAATGGGACACCCCTGGCTGAGTAACTAGCTTATCAGGGGAGCCTTGATGCCGAGAGACATGTGGATTCGCCGGGGTGGTGTCGGGGAGGACCCCTGGGCTTCCTGGCACAGTATGGTCTGGGACCTAACCTGTTGTTGGTCTGGGACCCCTCTCGTCGGCATATGGTAAACCTGTATCGGCTTTCAAAATGCCTTGTCATGAAAGCTTGGAGGTCTCCCGACGTGGCTGATCCCCACGGGCTGGGTGATCCGGGTTAGTAATGTCGTGTGGGTAAAGTGTACCCCCTCTGCAGAGGTTAACAAACTGTTCGAACAGCCGTGCCCACAGTCATGGGCGGATGTGAGGTGATTCCTAGCGTAGTTTTGTTTGACTACTGCTTGTGAAATTGCTGTTGTGAAAAGGGGATTCGATGTTTGAAAAATCAGCAGCTGACGGGATCAGCTAGGCCCGGGTGGCCGTTTGAAAAGTTGTTGGCCCGGGTGGCCGTTTGAAAAGCTGTTGGCCGGGTGCCAATCTTGTTTCAATTCTAAAGATTGATGCATTACACATACTCCGACCGGACGAGACGCACTGTCTCATCCGTGTCGTTTGAGAAGCACTCACTTAGACTTTTTAGAAAAGAGTTCAAACAAAATCAATTATGAAAACAACAGCCTTTCCTTGAAGCCTGCATTAAACACTTATTTCCCCTGGCTTGCTGAGTACTCCCGTACTCACCCTTGCTCTTTATAAATAATTCCCCCCCCCCCAGTTGCTGAAGAAGATGAAGTGGATCCTGCTGACGAGGTGTTCTTCCAGGAGCAAGTCGGCTACGATGAGTTTTAGGGTTTCGGCCTAGTTCCCAAGTCGCGCCTGTGATGATTGGTTCAAGTCCTGGCTTCCGCTTTCCTTTTGTAATGCAGTTGTGAGCTCGGGATCTGTCCGCAGCCCAACATGACTGTACTTCTACTCTATAATAAAGAGACCTCTGTTGCTGTGATACTCTGTCTCCCTGTAATACCAGCACTGTTTCCTAGGACTGGTATCGATTAACAGGTTAATTTGGAGCGTCACGGGCTAGTTCCGGTCGGGACTAGTTCGGGGCGTGACAAAAACCTTGGCCATGGGTGGAGCAACTCCCACCGGAAGAGCCCTGCGGAGGTGGAGCACGGGGACGCCATCGCCTCCATCAGGGTTCCGCCTCCCGCGTCGGCGTTGGCAGCGGCGGCGTCGGTGGCGTGGAGTGCGTCGTAGGCTGTGTTCGGGACACAAAAAACAAAGCACGCTATTATAGGGAGATTAATTAAGTATTAGCCTTAAAAAACTTAAAAAATGGATTAATATTTTTTTAAATAACTTTCATATAGAAAACTTTTGTAAAAAATACACTATTTAACAGTTTAAAAAGCGTGCGCGCGGAAAACGAGGAAAGTAAGTTGGGAAAGGGAGAAAAGAACACAGCCGTAGTCGTTATCATCGTTAGCCTCCGCCGCGGGCTGCTTCGACGATGGAGAGGGGTTGCACTTCCGTCGTGCCATGGCTAGAGCGAGGCGCGCTTGGATTTGGGGCAACCTGAGCCCGAAAATCCTAATGGGCGATCATTCGGCCCGCGCGATCAGCCCTTTTCTCACGTGATTTCCTTTTTTAGCATCCCATTACTTGTCTACTTTAGTAAATTTATGCACCTAAAGTTTGTACATCTCAAGTTTACACATCTAAAGTTTATACACCCAAAGTTTATAAGTCAAAAGTTTATATACCCGATTCAAATTTAAATTTAAATTCAAATATCTTATATATATATATATAGTATTTTCTATAAATAAAGTTTATACGTACCCAAAGTTTATATACCCGATTCAAATTTGAATTTAAATTCAAATATTTTTTATATATAGTATTTCTATATATAAAGTTTACACGTGCAAAGTTTTATTTATACGTACCCAAAGTTTATATACCCGATTCAAATTTGAATTTAAATTCAAATATTTTTTATATATAGTATTTCTATATATAAAGTTTACACGTGCAAAGTTTTATTTATACGTACCCAAAGTTTATATACCCGATTCAAATTTGAATTTAAATTCAAATATTTTTTATATATAGTATTTCTATATATAAAGTTTATACGTGCGAAGTTTACGGTACAAATTCTATACATAAGTATATAATCTATGCACTAAAAACAGTAGTAGATTTTTTTTCTGTATTTTTTTAAAAAATTTCTAACTTGTTTTTTTTATTTTTAAAAATTTATGACGTAGGAAGAAAAAAAAGAAGGGAAGAGGAAGAGGAGAGGAGAACCCCGACGAGCGACACCCGCTCATTAGCGATGCCCGCCGGAGCCAGTAGTAGCGTTGAGTCGTTGTCGCGAGATGGATTCCAACTTGGGCCTGTAGGCCTAGAGAGGGAATAGAAGAGAGAACGGGCCGGCAGGCTCGGCCCAAAATAGCGCCGGAGTCCGTAAATACGAACAGCCCAGCCCACCGCCGCATCCTCGCAACCACTGTCTCGCTCTCCGCCGCCATCGCCGCCGCCGCCTTCCTCTCCGCCGCCGCCGTTGGTACTCGCGCTTGCCGCCCGTCGAGCTCCCCTCACCGATAAAGGCTCACCGAAGGTTTCGTCGTCGACCCCGGGAGGTAAGCGTCGATCCCGCCCCCTGGCCGTTCTTAGGGTTTTTCCTAGGGTTTGGTTCCGGTTCTCCCCAGTCTCAGGCAGGAGATTTCGGTTTCGCGCCATCCATCGGAGTCGCGTTGCGAAGCGGAAAGCTTTGCGGCGAATCACGTAGAGCGAGGGACCTTGACCCGCCACTTGCACATTCATGTGCGTGAAGAACACGATTTTATGCGGAAGATTTCTGCAAGCCACACATAAGTGACTGTGGATCTAGATACGGGCTCCCCCACTCCTTTGGAAGGTGTGATGATTTGTGGGTGTTCTGGTAGTGTGAATTTGTTGCTCTGTGAAGGATTTACAGATTGCTGTTTAAAATGTCTGTATTCTGATTTCTGAAACTTATGGCAAGTTTAGCAGCTCCTGTATATGCCGATTGAAATACAAGTAGAATTATGCACACTGTAGTTTAGTTAGTTCAAATGTCATGGGTGGAGATAGTGTGTTTTCTGTTTTACCTGCTGCAATTGGTATTAAGGCCGTAGGTGACCTTGCTTTTGCAGTTTCAAATATGTCTGGCCGAGGACTGATGAAGCAGGACTTAAGCAAGCTTGACGTGACGAAGCTCCACCCTTTATCACCTGAAGTTATCTCACGCCAGGCGACGATCAATATCGGTATTGATGCAACCCTTTTAGCAATGCTTACTGTTATATGGTTAAGTATTACAGAACTTATCGCTGCATTTTTTATTTTGTGTGTTTTCTTATGTACAAACTACATATCATGATTCATGATTCTGAAAGAATGCTTAGGTTGCCCCTTCATAAGCATTTGGCCGTGTTAACTAGTATCATGAAATGACCTACATGGTTGTTCTTTTATACAACCTTACATTTCCAGTACTTTTTGCAGAGTAGTTTGCTTCCTAGGTTATTACAGTTCATCAGTACCATAACTCCTCCACAGTGGAGTTTCATTTGCATGCTATTGGTAGTTTGCTCATGTAGATGTAACTTTCCTTTCTTCTGTTTGTACTTGTGGACTTGTTCAGTACAATACTTACTTTTTTTGTCCAGATACTGTGCATGGGAGGGAGCATTCTGATTTTTTTAAAAGAAAAAAAAAAGATAACAACTAATGGAGATGTTTGTCTCTGGTTTTTTTGTTGTATAACTAGGGACATTGTAATGTTATATTATTTGCATATCTGATTTGTGAACTTCCTGCAGCGGCATGACATTCTTTTTCATTCTGTAAAATTTCAGGTACCATAGGGCATGTGGCCCATGGAAAGTCCACTGTTGTGAAGGCTATATCTGGAGTTCAGGTATTATTAATGTATTTTATTATCATGCTTCTTTCCGAGTGATGAATCTGAACTCTGCGTATACCTGACAACTATGTATCACATTTATTGGTAACCTGTGAGTTTTCCATATATTCTACCACATGATGCTTAGATGTGTGCCTTTTTGTACATGCTTGAATAAATTGCAGAGAACTTTAAAATGTATTGATAAAATTACACCATAGGGTGTAGAATTGAGAAGAGTTGTATCTGGAAATCCATATGATAAAGTAGTATAGAGGAGAATATGCCCCATCATAATGTCATTCTGTATATTGTAGTTCATGACTAGTTGCTTCACATATTCCATATGTAGTGGTGTACAGTTCATGAACATCTTTCATATTTAGTATTTATGTTCTTCACATGTAATTCATATATTTATATTTGTATAGTTGTCCTGATGTCTTCCTTGTGATTTGTAGACCGTTCGCTTCAAGAATGAGCTGGAGCGTAACATCACTATAAAGCTTGGCTATGCTAATGCGAAAATCTACAAATGTGAAGACGAGAAATGTCCACGACCAATGTGCTACAAGTATGCAAACAAACCACTAGACAACATGATCTTTTTAGTGTTTCCATTGAATATCTGATAGAAATTGTCAGTAGAGACTCAAATGATTGATTCTCCAAGAAAATAACTTAATAAAATTAGTTGCCATTCACCTCTTAGGATTATTGCTTTGGTGTGAAGCTCTTATACAATATGTGTGCTCTTGTTCACTCTTTGTTGACTTTAGTTTCCTATTACATAAAGGGCTTATGGAAGCGGAAAAGAAGATAGCCCTCACTGTGATGTGCCTGGGTTTGAAAACACTAGGATGAAGCTACTGAGACATGTTTCTTTTGTTGATTGTCCGGTATGATGAAATCCCTTTCCCTGTCAAATATGAATCCTCTCTTGAGACACGGCCTGATCAGTCTACCTGAATGTTTAATGATATTGCTTTATGCAATTCATTGCTTTGCAGTAGCATGTATATTTGGTTTTAAACATTTCGGTCTGTCAATTGTGATCATGGGGTTGTAGTTGCATCTGTTTTTAGATGCAAATATTGTTTCCACTAATAGGTGCATGACAATATACTGGAGGACTGAAGGATATAGATAAAAGAAATTGTAAAATGCTATCATTTCAACTTCTTTTATGGGCCACTAAGACTAGGTATTGGTTTACATTTGTTGAAGCCTGAGAAATTACCTATTTCCTCTTAACAGGGACACGATATTCTCATGGCTACGATGCTTAATGGAGCTGCTATCATGGATGGAGCATTGCTTCTGATAGCAGCAAATGAAAGTTGCCCACAACCCCAGACATCTGAGCACCTTGCTGCAGTTGAAATCATGCGTCTCCAGCATATCATCATTCTTCAGAACAAGATTGATCTTATCCAGGAAGGTGCGGCGATGAATCAGCATGAAGCAATCCAGAAATTCATCCAGGTCACTGTTGCCCATCATTTCTTATCTAGTAGATTATCTCATCTGTCTTTTTGTTTATGGAGATTTTTTTTTCTCTGCAGGGCACCATTGCTGAAGGTGCTCCAGTGGTGCCAATATCTGCTCAACTGAAGTACAACATTGATGTGATCTGTGAATACATTGTGAAGAAAATCCCCATTCCTGAAAGGAACTTCACTTCCCCTCCAAACATGATTGTTATTCGCTCCTTTGATGTCAACAAGCCTGGTTCAGAGGTTGATGAAATTAGGGGTGGTGTAGCTGGTGGCAGCATTCTCAGAGTATGTGTTCTCTCCTGTAACATAATTAAATATTTTAATCAGTAGTTTTTTATGTTAAGTATGAGCTGAATGGTAATGCTTCGTTCCAGGGAGTTTTGAGGGTTAACCAGAACATTGAAGTTCGCCCGGGAATTGTAATGAAGGATGAGAGCGGCAACATCAAATGCACCCCAATCTATTCGAGGATCGTTTCACTCTATGCTGAACAGAATGAACTCCAATTTGCTGTGCCAGGAGGTCTTATTGGTGTTGGAACAACCATGGATCCAACTTTGACACGTGCCGATAGACTGGTTGGGCAGGTTCTGGGTGAAGTTGGATCCCTTCCTGATGTCTATGTGGAGCTTGAGGTTTGCCATAACTCATTTGTTTCTTCAGGGTTTTAGTGAACGAATGTCATTACTTACATCTGAACCTTTCACACAGATCAACTTCTTCCTTCTTCGGAGGCTATTAGGTGTGAGGACAAAAGGCACAGAGAAGGCTGGGAAGGTCTCCAAGCTCACCAAGGGTGAAATCCTCATGCTTAACATCGGATCTATGTCGACTGGTGCTCGCGTGGTTGCTGTCAAGAACGATCTCGCCAAGCTTCAGCTCACTGCCCCTGTCTGCACAAGCAAAGGTGAGAAGGTTGCCCTCAGCCGCCGTGTCGAGAAGCATTGGCGCCTCATCGGATGGGGCCAGATCCAGGCTGGCACGACGCTCGAAGTTCCACCATGCCCGCTCTGAATTGTGTTTCTCCAGGCAGAAATCCTAATCTTTGAGAGAAGATAGAAGAGATGTGGAAGGGCAGAGAGCTCCTAGGCACTATTTTTGTGAGGTGGATGAGAAAACATGAATTTGATTTGGAAGCCATGTCATTGCGTGCTATCGAATTCAGCTATGCTACAAAAGTTTTGCTTACATCTGCATTCTGAATTATGGAGAATCGTTTTTTCACCATGTTATAATGAATTTGAAGTGGGGAGAAACCTACTAATTGATCAGAATTGCATTATTGCATTTCTCACTGAATCCAATCAGTGATGTATTATTGCATTGAACATGTTGCAAGAAAGGAACATATCGCTCTGGATTTTCTTTTTCTATCTTCTCCTCCCTTAAACCAGTTGTGACTTGCGACGCAAAGAATCTCCATACGAACATGACTATTTACTAGCATATCATCAAAAGTTTCAAAATATAAACCACAGTAACCAGCTAAAGAATACACAAGAATGTAACCTTTGCACAGGTATCTTCTACAGTAGCAGTCAGGAGAAACAGTTGTTCGATTCAGGATGAGCCCCCATTTCTATACGCAACCTTACTTAGGCTAGGCACTGGAATATCAAAAGCTATCAAACAATTGAGATTTTTGAGGCAGTTGAAAAACTAACATCTAAATTCTAAAATACCCCCACTCTACCTGTGATTGTGCAATTGAATTACAATGGTTAACTATCACACGAATCAGAGCTACAAATCAAGAAACTAGGATGTCTGGAAATCTCTCTACTCAGCCTATACTCTAAAATTGCTCCCAGAAGGCGGTCTCAACCTTGATTCGATGGACCGGGCATGTCAGGGTTGTCGAACATGACATTGGGCGCTGCCGAGGTTGAGGGAGCGTTCATCGCTGACAGAGGCAACCGACCCCCGAAAGAGAGCATCTGCAGCTGCCGCTGCTGCTGTTGCTGCAGCTGCTGCTGCTGCTGTTGCATCTGCTGCTGTTGCTGCTGCAAGAAGGCCTGTCGCTGCTGTTGCTGCTGTAGTTGCATCTGCTGCTGTTGCTGCTGCAGCTGCATCTGCTGCTGTTGCTGCTGTTTTTGTTGCTGTTGCTGCATCTGCTGCTGCAAGAAAGCCATCTGTGGGTGCACCTGCATGTTATTGGAGTAGAAAGCTGGAGTGCCGGCCTGGGGCATCGATCCCGGTATTCCTGGCGGTCGAATGTTCGCTTGACTCAATGGATTTGAGGCCATAGTGTTGCCTCTGGGTGAAGCTAACCGAAGCCCTGACATCATCCGGATGCGCTGAGCTTGCAGCCCCTGCCTCATCCTCTCGGACTGCTCACTGTCCCTCAAAAGGTAGGTCTCGATGTCTGCAAATTGCTTCAACTTCAACTCCAGCCTCTTCAACTGCAAATGAGTATTACAAAAATAACAGCAAAGAGTCCAAATGAAAATGATGAAAGCCACATCAAATATCAGCCAGTATGGCATAATCAAGTGAAAATGACATATTGGACAGTCATTAACCCCCACATCACATGCATAAATTTCATATCAGATTTAGGAACCAACTCCTGGAGGACAACTGATGTCAATTACCAGGTGGTTGGTTAACACTAAAACAGGCTACTAGGCTAGTTAAGGTTCCAAAGATAAATCAACATTCAACCCCGCTGGATCCTCCTGGTTTTAACTAAAAGCCAGTTTTAACCCTGGGTAATTAAGTTTCTGAAAACTTATTAAAATTATTGTCACAGGAGGATCTGTTTTATCCACACTCCAAATTAGCTAGAATCATCAAAACTTGTAAAAAAAATCTCTCCCACTGGGTAAAGCCAATACTTGCCGAATGGGCGTTGATGCTACTCAGTGACTATCTTTTATGCTCAGAAGTCACAACCTCTTTTGTTTCTCAATGCTTGGTCAGTTTGTTGACATGTCACTGTAGATTGTGAACTATCATCGTCCAATCACAAACTGACCGTTGTGATCCATGTTTTTATCAAATTAGCATAATATTGTTTCTGCACTATAGCTAATTCCATTCAGAATCAGATTTCAAGGCTTCTTCAAGTCCAAAAAGAAATGAGCAAGGACTGATAACGCTTCATCTATACTTCCTCCTTTTCATATTATAAGACTTTCTAGCATTGCCCACATTCATATATATGTTAATGAAACTAGACATATATGTGTGCCTAGATTCATCAACATCTATATGAATGTGAGTAATGCTAGAAAGTCTTATAACCTGAAACGGAAGTACTCTATACTACTATAAATGTTGGTAGTGGTAGTGGTAGTGGTAGTGGTAGTGGTAGTGGTAGTGGTAGTGAATCTACCACCACAACACCCTATCACTGACGTGTCGGACCCTCAATGTCGGTGAAAATTTTGTGCTCCCTAGTTCAAATCCTTTGATTCCGTGGCAACACACGGGCAAATCAGCTAGTTTAATACAAATAAAAACAATGCCACAAAAGAATATGAAGCTAACTAGATTGTCATTACCATTAGAACAAATTGCAGAATGTGAACTTCTGTATTCCAACAAACCTGATGATTTATGATGGTAGCACTTAATCTCTGAATTTCACGCTCCTCCTGATCCGCAAAAAGTTTACACTTAGTTGCTGCTGCCGACAAGCCACATCTTGCAGCATGTCTAACATTTTCTGAAGAGACAGCCAATGAGGAATCTGTATTAAAATAAAACTGCATGTTAGAGTAACATCTTGAAAAGAAAGACTGAAGGATGCGGAATTACTAATTTTAGGAATAAGGTAGTCACCACAGTTCGGTCGAGCAGCATGGCCCATAACATCATTGCCAATTGAACTGATCCTTAATTGATGAACATTATTGTGTTAAGAGAAATCCAGCAAGGTGAGATAAAGTGAAAAGTAAGTGTAAAGACCCGAAGTAGAACAATTTACACTCCAGTTATAGAACTGGTATAACATGTCGGAGCTAAGAGTTCATTAATCTCATCCCTAAACCTCCCTTACACAGCATAGGTGGCTCACCTGGAGTCACCTCCAGTCAAAACAATTAATGCTTCACTTGCACAGGATGCCGCAACTCTTGGTCCTAATGAAGAGGCCAAAAATGCAATCTGCAAATCATCTCTGAACAGTAAGGCCAGAGACATAATAGAGATCTACAATAAACTGACAAGATCTGGGGAGAATGATCCAGTATGTGGGAGATTACTATCATAGTTTTCTACCTATCTACTAAGTTCCACCTAGATATTATGTTTCCATGTCTTGTCCCATGCCGCAAGCTATCATGTTAGTTCTAAATGATGGTCTGCACGAGATATTAAATAATAAAATGCCCATGGCTTTGCAACTAAAGCTGTGGTTTGCCTATACAATAAATCCCAGCTGTCTTACATCAGGTGTTTTTTAATTTGAGAATTCGGTCAATGGCAAGAAACTATGTATATCACTAAAAGTGGGCTGTATAAAAGCAGTGAAGATGACTGATATTGCAATGGAGCATAATGGTTTCAGCACCCAAATTTGAATTGAGCAGTGCAATGACATAATAAACAACATAGTCTGCAGTCACTCACCAGTGACATGACAGGATTAGCAGTGTTAATGAAAGGAAGGTCTCCAGCTTCGCCGCTTTGAGGCAAGCTTCCTAAGGCAAACAATTGTGGCAATTTAAAAACGGAGCCAGAAGCATTTTGCATCAACCAAAACTGATATCCAACACAAAAAAATGTTAAGTTTTTCAGTAAAGAAACAATGAATAAACCTGAAGTACTGCCATTGGAATTTGAATGCAAAAAACCATTGTTTTGTACTTTCGATGAAAAGGATGCTTCTGGTACTTTAATATTCTCTAACAATCCATCTTCTACTGGAAGACGAAGAAAATGGTGAAGACATTGTATTTTCGACTTTGTTCCAACATGCTCCGCAACAGCATTCCAGTTTTCTTTGTATTTGTCTATGCCCTCCAATAACAGAAATGTTTCCTGATCAGTCCAGCTGTCCCCATCATTGTCCAGTCCATCTTTCTTCCCATCCACTCTCTGAAAATCTAAGCTTGAGTGCCCAGTAACAAATCTTGCATCGTGGAAGCAATCCGAGCAAAGAGCAATGTCTGCCTGCTTAGTCAGTTAAAAGGAAAGCCTGAAACACCTTTACAAGCTTCTTTCAGAAAGAAAGGGATTTCTCAAGAGAAAGCAGAATAAAATTACTAAATACGCAAGAGATATAGATATCCATGAAGATGCACATGATTCAAGAAGGCACTTTGTGCAAGAGGGTCAACAGGGGTGGCAACTAGGACCAGCCTAACTAGAGAATTCTAAGCAATTATCAGGCATATTACAAAAGAAGATAGGCAATACTACCTCCATTATTATTTTACTTTACAATTTGGACATCGACACAATATCCAATGCACATGTCTCATCATTAACTTTTCTTAACTTTAGATTTATAAAAATTATTAGAAATAACTATATGAAAGTGTTTTTCAGGACAAATCTGTTAATACAATTCACATATAAAATCCTAATATCTTATTAATGATACACGATATCGAGGTTTGATTACACACATTCTAGAACGTCATCTATTTGAGAACAGAGGTAGTAGAACACTAAAATAGCAGAACAAGAGCCCTGAAGACAGGTTAGCCTAATGCACCATCCTAATACCTAATCACTGCAGTTATCTAGCGCCTATCGGTGACTTTTAGAACACTGCATATGCACATCAATATCTTAAATGGATCTGCTACAAAAATGCAGTTTCGCACACTAGACAATACACCATCCATTTTACAATAGTTGTCCAGTGCACATACATAGAAGATACAAAACTCCTTATTAGTTCAATTGGACTCTGATTGTTCTTAAGATCAAATTACTCCATCTAATGGTGTCAAATATAATCTAATTCCACCAAATATTATTACTGGCTTGTGTATTCAACATTTGAAGAATGATAAATATCTAATTGGCAGTCAGAATTATACACACCTCCTTTTGTGACTCGTAGTGCAAGCTAGGCAAAGGTTGTGCGCAGAAACTACAAAAGCTCTCAGACAATCTCTCCAACAATGTCTTCTCATCAAAACCAGCATCACCATTTTCCATCCCTGGAGAAGATGAAAGTGATGCCCCAGAAGCAATATCCTCTGCCCGGACACTGCATTTTGGTCGATCAAACAAAATTAAACCATCAATTGATTTCAATGGAGCAGACATGAGATGCAGCTCCCCTGTTGGCTCCTCTCTGATTAGTGTTGCTGCCATCCTCAAGCCCCGTTGAACAGACCCAGCCGCAAGGTAATTAATAATCCCCCAAGCGTCCAAAAACCTAACAATTCTACTCAGGTCATACAATTCAGGCGTGCTTGTGACAAGCCCTTGGCACTCAGAAAATGCAAGCCTCCTCGCAGGACGCTCCAGATACGTTGTAATTACCCTATTCCTCAACATAATGTATTTCTCTGGCGTGTGCCCCGGGGACTTCCCTGAGAAGAACTGCGGCAGCACTTGCCTCTCCAACCTGTGCACCGTCATTGGCAAGAACCAATCTACGATTTCCAAATCAACCCATACCACACAGCTTAAGTCAATTTAGTGTTCAGCTCAACTAGTATGGCACATTTCAGGAGCTCTTCGATTCAAGGAAACAAACCTGAATGCTTGGGTACCATGAGCAATTTGCCATCGAACTGCTTGGCCACGCCGCGGCACTCCATGAGTAGAGGAGGGGTGCAGACGTAGGAGGACGGCTTGTCGGGGTCGTTGGACAAGGACGGGTGGTCAGGGAGCACGGACGAGAGCACCTGGAGCTGCCCGTGAGAGATGTTCTCGAGCGCGGGGACGGCCGCGCCGCCGCCGCCAGCACCAGCACCAGCCGCGGCGGCGGCGCGCTCCGCCGCCATGACGGCGAGCACGGAGGGGTGGAGCCGGTTGACCACGCGGCGGAACGCGGGCGGGAAGGCGGAGACGCGCTCGATCGCCGTGGGGTGCACCTCGGCCTCGCGGAGGTCCACCACGGGGTCGTCATCGCCCCCGCCTAGGGTTCCGCCTCCCCCGTTGGCGGCCGCGGTGGCCGCGTGGAGCGCCGCGTCGTCGTCGTCGTTGTCGTCGTTCGCCGCCGCAGCCACCGCGGAGTCGGAGTCGTCGGAGTGGTCGGCCGCGGAGGTGTTCGCGTTGCGCTTCCGCTTCCGCCACTTGGCCCGAGCATCTACAGGGGAGGTAGGGTTTTGGCCGCCAGCGTCAGCGCGGGAGGAGGTCCCCGCGAGGGGGAAGTGCGAGGCGAGGAGGGGGGGCACGTACCTGCGGAGGAGGTGGCCTTGCGAGGAGGCATCGTCGCCGGCGCCGGTGGCGGAGGAGGCGGCGGCGGCGGCGGCGGCGGCGGTGGGGGAGCTTGGAGTGTTGCCGGCGAGGGAGGCACGTGCGAAGCGAGTGAGGAAGGGCGTTGAGCAGCCGCGGTTCGAATTTCTTCCCACTTTTTCGGCTTTTGCTATCCAATCAAATCATTCAAGCTTTGGTTACTGGATTATTCAAACGCGGAAATGTTAAAAATTATTTAAAAGCATTTTCTGAAAAAATAAAATATATCTGAGAAAAAAAGTTACATTTTCTAAAAATTAAGAAAATGTTAAAAATAGAGAAGTCAGACAGTTAAACCTATGACCTCATGTTCTGACTGTCACGAAGCGTTGATGTCGGTTGAATACTCGAATTAGAGTTAATTTAGAATAGATTAGGAGGAGGAGGAGATTTGGGGATCTAAATCCCAAAGGATAAATCTGGATTCTGAAGTGATGGTTGCACCTGCGATGTGGCAAAAGGGGGAGGAAGGAGGTGGCACCACCGGCGATAGATCTGAAGAGACTGATGGACCAAGTACACACCGAGAACACAAGAGCGATAGGCTAGATTAGATGGGGTAGAGACTATCACCGATCACAAAGAGGGGATGATCAACTAAGGTGTAAGGTTCAAGCGAGGCAAATCATTAGAGAAGAGGGTGGAGGTAGTAGTAGTCGCAGTCGGTGGAGAATTAGGTAATTTTATATAAATGGTAGGGGTGTCCACCACTTTATTATTTATTTATGTTCTTCTATTATTTTTTAGTCCTAAGGTACGAATTCATTTAGTTTATTTATTTGTTTAACTCTCGTGTAGTTAAATAAAGCATGAATGTGAATCTATGTGTGTTTTTCAAAATAAACATGTAAAAGATAACGTGATATCATTGGTTCAACGCATCAACACGCTACTTATGAAGGTGAATTATGGTATTATATCTTTCTAAAGCGGTAGTGTTAACCTGACATTTATAGTCGAACAAGACATAGTTGGAAAGATGAAATTGTCGGAATCAATTATAAGGAGGTCTTGTTAAATTTTGATTAGAAAAATGTTTGAAGTAAAGATAAATAAATCCTTATTTGATCAAAGTAAATTACTTTTAGAAAATATTGATAGGCTAATTTCAAGGTTTTTTTTCTCCGCAGTAGTGAGTGCACTTAACTTGTTGGACTATTAACTTACCGCTAAATCGCTAATGGAGCGTACGCCGATTGAACAGTCAAATGGAATAGGGAATAGTTAGTACATTTAGCTAGTCAGTCTATTGACTTGCTACTACTGGAGTCTACGCTAATTCAATGGTCAAATAAAGTCATATGTAAGATCTGTTATCCGAATCATCAGTGTTACTGATATGTGTGAGATTCCACATATCAATGCCATTGCATGACCAAAGTCTCGTGCATCATACATTATCATGAGCGGGCTTGTCCATCTAGGCATTTAGGGTACGTTCAATTCTTTATCTCTCATCCACATATTAAAATAGTAAATGCTATATAATGTCTCATTGGTGTTACACATGTTTTATGGTTTCTTAAAAGCTATATAAATATCTTAATGTGTAATTTTTTTCCCCAACCGAGGATAAACATAATTTTCGTTGGTAGACCCAGTTTAGCATGCATTAATTAGTGTAAAGAGGCAAAAAGGATTCGGGGACCCATAATAAACAGCATAGAGAACAATTGTGCGGCCATTACAACCTGCAACGAACTGCACTAGCCAAGCAAATTCAATTATATCTAATTTGGGAAGAGCTGACGAAAAAAAAAGTCTATATGTACTAAATTTTATCTTACTAAACTTGTATTAACAGTGTGTTTCATACTGTGTGTACATCTATATTTTCTATTACTATTTATTTAAATCAAAATGGTTGACATGATTGTTTGTTCGCAAGAGTTTTGTAAAAGAAGTGTAGCAGCGCTCGAGATGAAACTATGCAGTTATCTGCTTGCAGTCGGACAGTCTGATCTTTTTCATGGATTAACTTTTGCTTCTATAAATTCTTGATCAATGGTTACCACAAAACACAATATCAACTTCAGTCTTTCACAAAAGAGGACTATGCCGTTGTAAAATAGTTAACAAAAGAGGACATCAAACTGAGTGGAATTAAGAGCCGGGAAATGCCAATGCAAGCTTCCATCAAACCATAAGCAGAACAAGAAAATGATGCATGATGTACAAGATGACAGGCCGAAAACCATTCTTTCCATGGACACACTGGTGCACAATTCAGTTGGTTACAAGGGTGGAGTTCACACTATTTAATCCCCATCACAAACATAAAAAAGGCACAACAGTCTGTCGAGAAAATGAGCTTCCCCCAGAACCTAAACTTGGAAAGGAGACAGAAGATATCCCTCGCAGAAATGGCCACCTGCGTCATCTTTCCAATCCATGTTCTCTTAGAAGACCAGCGTTTGTGGCATGTCAAAAAGAGCACGGATAGTCTCACTAGCCACATCCAAAAGCTGTAAATACTCATCCGCTCCATCGACCAAGCACTACATATTCCAAAAGAAATGGAATGAGAAAATTGGGATGGAGCAACAATACTTCAGAGCTATCATATTAAGTGTATGCTTTTAATGATGTACACATAAAATTGCTGGAACTGTTCCACATATAAGTTAGCAGTTTTATTTGAACTTCAGTATGTGGAATATATGACAAACATAGAAACAGAAAATTCAATCCTTCATTACAATCATCTATGGTACATTGTATACAATGTTGCCTTCTAAGTTTTTAGTCACAAACATTCACCTCATGATGACAAGAAGGATCTTACAAAGACTTGTTCGGTAAAGTAAATCTATAGATATAGTGGAACAAGCATCTACTCCCTCGGTCCCAAAGCAAGATTTATTTCTATGTTTGTCATATATAATTGTCCACATAAACCACTTTCATAAGGAGGCGAAGGGAGTAGGAAAGAATAACAAAAACAGAAGAGAAACCCAGTAGGACAAACCTTATCTGCTTCCCCAAGCTTTTTACATATTCTTGCCTTCTGCTCATCTGGAATATCATCGGCATTAACTATCACATCTAGAAACTGCACGGAGTAGTTAGGTTAGCAAATGACAAGGTGAAAACAGCACATATCTAGATTTAAATTAAATAGAGATGACCTGTGAGATCAACTGTGAAACGGGGTATCCATCTGCAATAATATTATTGACTTCCTTGTTTGCCACATCAAATTCACCAGATTTGCAAGATGCAAGCAATGACTTGACAACGTCTTCAGGGATAGCCTGACATATGGACAAACAAGATGAGCAAAATAATTTAACCTCCCATAAAATAAGGTTCCCTGGACTACTTATACCAATCACAAACTACTTGCACACTAAAATTTATCATGACATGAGAGAAGTTTTTCCAGGTTACAAGTACACCGAATTTCTCTCAATTAAACAATTTGATCACCACGTGCACAGGATCTTGTTAACAAAATGGTGCAAAATCCACTTTGCTACTTTCAGGAAAACAATGTCATCAAGTAAGCGTGACTTTGTACAGACTCAAACATAGAATAGCAAAATAAATGACACATGTAAGTTTAGGCATTTGCAAGGGAACAGAAATGAGTGGTAATGTACCCCTGAAACACTAATCAAGTCAGTAGAAGAAATAGAAGATCCAAATAAGCGAGCAGCGCTCTGCAACAAAAAACAAAAGGTATATTAAATTAAGATTAATATAAATAAACCACATAATGCAAACGCCAAACTAGATAAACCATACCTGAAGATAGGTTATAGCACGGCGGAGGTCACCATTAGAGATGGTGCTTAGTGTAGCCAATGCCTATTATGAAAAATAAAAAGAGTGTTAGCAAAAATGCGGATATTTAAATGTAGATTTAGATTTTGAAGTGAATGCAGTACAGTTACCTGAGCATCAAGACTGAGCCCTTCTTCATTGCATATATGCAAAATGCGATTGCTCATTACTTCTTCTGAAAGAGGCTTGAATCTAAACTTTGCACATCTTGATGCAAGTGGTTCTATTATCCTGTATTACACATTAGGATAATGAATTACATAAACTCAAATAAAGATCCACAGGGGGAAAAAAGGAGAAACAAACTAATACCTGCTGATGTAATTGCATATGAAAAAGAATCTTGTCACTTTGGAGTAAGTCTCCATAGTACGCCTTAAAGCATTCTACAGACAGATATAAGACATCATCAACGCACGGTTCTGCAGCAACAAGGCTTTTAGCGTTCTGCCTGTTGTCTATACCTGGGCATCTTCTGTCATCGAATCTGCTTCATCTAGTATAATAATCTTGTATGGTGGGCAGGGATAACCGCTGAAGGCCATCGCAAAAACAAACTAGTCAAGAATGCAACTACAGATGGAAACTGAAAGGTCCCTAGTTTTGGTTAAATTACCCTTTTCGTGCAGAACCAACAGCAACAGCAGCAAAGTCCTTGATCTTAGTCCTCACCACATTAATTCCACGATCATCACTAGCATTAAGTTCTAGAACTCTTGACTTGTAGAGCTCTGGACTGCATCATCCAAATAGTACGAAAAAACTATCATGAGTCCCAAACTTACTGAGAACAACCTTGCACTATTTGCAGAAAACATATCCTCTTAATGTTATTTCATTATTTAGTAGTCATGATTAGAATGGGGTTTTTCTTGCAAATGAATTTAGGAAGTAACCACCATATTAGAAGAGCAAAATTGGCAGACAGATAATCTCAATCACTATAGTGCTCATTATCAGTTGAAAAAAAAAGAGAATAAACTTCGCTACTACTCAATCTAATCAAATTTCCTCCTAACAAACTGTTTCAGTATTATTTTTTCCCTTAATTCATATGTGCTATTCCACATGAAAATTTTGATTCTCTAGATTTCCCTCCATACATCTGACCGCCTCCAATTATCATTGGTAAGACATGAACCATTACACACATCGAATAGATTCTAATCAAGCAAGTGAGATTCTAATCAAGCAAGTGAAGTGGTAACAACTCAACAAGAAAAAAGGGGCCTGTGAGAGATGCAAGAATAAATTACCTAGCCCAGAAACAATGAAAATGGCTGATGAGTGAACAAAATTATAACAGATCTCAACATTTCAACAATCCAAATTTTAAACTTGAACTACCATTTCACCATACATCATTCAAACACATTGATCCAGTGGTCCGATTAGTATTGTAATATGCAGGACTAGGATCAACCATGTCATCAAACTAATTGTACCCACTTTTGGAACGCCTGCCTACAAAGATGTATACCAATATTTGCCAAAATAAACAAAATACCCAAGATAATGAAGGTTATCAATTCTAATGTCTCAAAAGTTAAGTGATTCACCCCCAGCGCAGCCTATCTAATGCTCCCATTGCATTGAGAATTACCACCTCTTCCAAGATTACTAAGATAAGCCAATTTCAACCGAACCAAAACAAGATTCTCATAAAGAGAAAAATTCAAGTAAACAGTTGCCAACAAGAATTGAGTTACCCGTAGAGCTGGTAAGCAATGGCAAGCGCGGTGGTGGTCTTCCCGGTGCCAGGCGGGCCGTAGAACAGCATGTGCGGAAGCTGCAAAGGGACCAGATCACAAATCAGAAACCTCCCAGGGGGTCACAAGAGAAAAAAAAAAGAAACAGAGCTAGGGTTTAGCCCGCGGCTCACGTCGGCGGTCTGGAGGGTGGTGGTGAGCACCCGGACCACCTCCTCCTGGTGCGCGACATCCTTCACCTGCCTCGGCCGGCTGCGAACGGGAGGAGGATGAGCAGCGGGGTCAGTCAGTCGCAACTAGGGCAATCCATGAGGGCTTATCGACAAATTGAGGGAGGAAAATGGTGTGGGGGAGGGGAAGAGAGGGCGGCGCTTACTATTTCTCCACCCATGGCTGCGAGGACGGCACGAGCGGCGCCATCGGGCTACCGCGTCCTCTTGCGCCGCTGCCGCCGCCGCCGCCTTGGTCGTCGCCGCCGCCGAGGGAGGGGTTCGCGCGCGCGGAGGGCGGAGGCGAGTGGCGGGCTGCGGCTTCGCTTCCCGCCTCTTCTCTCTGGTTCTTTTGTGTGGGGAGGTTTTGCAAAGTCTGGAGGAGTGAAGGATTTTGGGCCGGCAGGTAGGCAGGATGGCCCCAAAAAAATCGTGAAAAACCGAGAAACTGGATAAATTTTACAACAAGTTTTAAAAATTTTGTTTAAACTTTTTCGAAGTTGGTCGGCATACTTGGCTGTTACATTATTACTATCTTAAAAGCACAGTCGTCATCCTCTCATTTCTCCCTTTCCCATGTATATACAAAAAAAAACAGCTCCAAAAGAACCATTATACCAAAAACATCTTCCGGTGAGATTTGGTGTCAGTGTTAGGGATAGGTTTTGAGCGATCTCGGTTGTAGGTACTTTGTTGGTCTAGTGATAGTCGGTTTGGTGTTAGCCTTCTCTCGGGTATGTGTTTTGGTGTTGTCAATGTGTGGGTGACGGTTTTTTTCCTGATTATGACCTCTCAAGATTATAATATTGTAATTTTGCGATTCCTTACCATATGAATATATAATGATGTATCGTGTACAGTTATCCTAAAACGGATGGCATGGATTGTTCTAAATTTTATAGGTACACCAATAGTACAGGATATTAAATACCAATGGTGCACAGTTTCTCTATTTGTGTGTGTGTTTTGAAAATTTGTTATGTAAATTTTTGAAAATAAAAGGTGTAGCAAATCATTTTGAGTTGAAATAATATTAAGCAAAAGTCAATGCACCATGGTTAGTGCTCCTCTGATTTCTTTAGTGATCAAACATGTTTTCAAATATAACTTACGCTCAGGTTTTGAAATTAAACAACGATTATAAGCCATAATCCAACTGAGCAACAGTTGCAATAGGATTAGTAGAATCCAAAACGAAGACACGCCTGGTGGGACTCGAACCCACAATCGTCTGATTAGAAGTCAGACGCCTTATCCATTAGGCCACAGGCGCCTTCTCTTTCCTGGGCCCTCCGTTTTACTCATTTTATAGGTAAATTATATAGTATTTAACATTAAATTTATCGGGAAACTATGAATCACCCGATATTTAATATTGAAGCTATAACAAAACTATATAAGTTTTTTTACTTTAAATCCTAACACCATTGTCACGTTGGAGCTATTAACGTTATAGTTTTGTAACTAAATATGTTCTAAACATATGCTCCCTCTGTCAAAAAAAAAAAATTAACTTAAGAGCGGATGTGATTCCCTCCTAGAACAATGTATCCGGCATACTCTATTTCTATATATGTTGTCTATGTCCAAATACAATGTCCTAGGAGGGATCATAGGTTGATTTTTTTTTACGGAGAGAGTTCTGTGATAACGATATACTCCCTCTGTTTCAAGTTACAAGACGTTTTGACTTTGGTCAGAGTTAAACTGCTTTAAGTTTAAGTTTAGCTAAATATATAAAAAAGACAGTAATATTTTCAACCTAACACAAATTTATTATGAATTTATATTTAATTGTTGATTTGATGATACTAATTTAGTATTATAAATATTATTATATTTCTCCATAAACTTAGTTAAAAATAAAATAGTTTGATTTAGATCAAAATAAAAAAATCTTGTAACCTGAAACGGAGGGATTACTAAATATGTAACCTGAAACAGAGGGAGTACTAAATATATTATGCTACATCTTAAATGTGTAGTTTCGTGATAAATTAAATATGAAATTTATAGTTTTGTAATACACTAATAATAAGTTATAAAAAATAGTTTGTGGTATTTTGATCATAGTATACGTATTTACTCGAAATTGTAAATACGCATACGTATACACGTGCTGCCCCGCAAGCCTCGTTCGTCACGTCGGTTGGCACCCTCCCCGCGCCGCGACACGACGCCCGACTCCGACTCGCCGCCGGCTTCTCCCCTTCGCCATCTCTCTCGCGATCTCGCCGCGCCCTCGCCGGAGGAGCGAGGAGGAGATGGAGGCGACCAAGACGCGCGGCACCGGCAATGCGGCTGCGGCGGCGGAGAAGAGGAGGGGGCACGGATCGACGGCGCTGTTCGTGGCGGTGGACTACGCCTTCCTGCTCGCCTTCGCCGGGTTCCTCTCCTACCTCGTCGTCTCCCACCTCCTCCCCTCCGTCGCCTCCTCCTAGATCTGCTCTGTTTTCCCTGTTTTTGTTATGTTTCTTTTTTTTTTTCGTTTGCTCGATCGGATCCGACGCGGGTGACGTCACTTCAGATCGCCTCGTCGTCGGATGCCATGACATCTCCGATGTGTAATTCCGTGTAATGGGATGAGAAACCAGAGCTGCAGTTTCTTGGAAATTTGGCATGGATTTCAGTTCTTGCTTGCTTGCTCATTTGTTCTTCAATTGTTCATGTCCTGGTCCCGATTGGTTGGCCTCTGGATCTGATACTGTTCTTGTCAATGCAAATTTCTGAATGCCATTGTTGCCTTGTTGGTGTTAGATCTGATTGGTTCATGCTTTGTTTTGTAAGTAATCCCTCCATTTCATAATGTAAGACTTTCTAGCATTGCCCATATTCATTTAGATGTTAATGAATCTAAACATATATATGTGTTTAGATTCATTAGTATCTATATGTATATGGGTAATGCTATAAAGTCTTACATTGTGAAACGGAGACGGAGGGATTACAACATAATGCCACCACTACGATTTGAAGATGTGAGTGAAAATATTCAATTATGTGTCACTTGGGAGGTCCAAAAGATATGTAGTGAGCTTCTCATCAGTTTTTGATTGTCCAGTAATGCAGCTAGTGCTATAGTTGATGACTTGATGTCACCTGACTGTTTAAGCAACAATTCAAGCCTAAACTTTATTGGAGTTTCTTTAGACAAATACAAGTGAATGCCACTGCAGAGAGTATGTAGCTCATGCTGTTACATTGAGAGCTTGTTCTAGTTCTCTTTGTCAGAAACTACATTGAATTGGTTTCGCGTATAACTGGTGTGTTTGGTGTAGAGACAAGCATTTAAAAGCAATTTCTGAGAGCTTAGAACTCCTGTATCAAATAGCCAAGAAAATGGATCAATGTTTATGAATGTTAATATCTATACAAGGCAATGCTATAGCCACTCCAATTCACATTGCCTCAAAGCTCTCTGCATATTTACAACCAACCTATAGCAAGGAAAGAATCAAAAACCTCTTTTGTTAGATATCGGCATATCATGCCGCAATTGTTCATATTTATTTTCTTTTGCTTTGTTTAACCTTTTCATGTGCAGGTAGAAACATGGAATACACCACCATTTCTTTTTATGCTTTAATTTCTTCGCAGAATTGCACAACACAGAGCCATTCACACAAAATTACATTGTCGACATGCCTTTCTGTACACAAAACGAATCTCTAAGTCAGAAGACTCAGAAGTTCCTGTAGATTTTGATAAACATCTGTTCCGTCGTGTTTTCCATGCTTCGAGAAATCCTTTGATACACAAGAGTTTACGTTTTTCTAATTTGCACTCTTTGGCAGAGCTGCACAAAATTAGAGAGAGAAAAGGCAAGTTAAATTTAAGTCAACGTGTGCTGTTGTTTACGATGGGTTAAAATAACTCCAGAATTCCACCAAGAAACACACTTTTCCATCTTTCTTTCAAGAGGAACAGATCAAAACTTCATTACAGATCTAGACAGATAGTATATGATATATCTGATCCCTGTGCTGAATGCTGACTAAAGATGGGCAACTCTTCGTGAGGCTTCTGAAATGCAACCAATTTACAAATTTACATCAATTTTCTGTACAGTGTTGCAGATGTGCTGCTTGAGAGGGGTGGCACACAGATATTCTTCAGACTATGACAATAATTGGACGATTTGGATGGATGGAATCTTCTCTCGGAGCTTCTTACTCACGGCAATCCGAACAGTCCTCACAACTGCAGCAGGGCCTGTGAGCCGAACTTTCACAATGGGGCCCTTGATCATGAGAAACTGGAGGCCACCACCTCCCGTGCCAGCAAGGTATGGCCTGATTTCATTGAGAACCTAGTGAAAAATTAAATGCATTGTCAGTACATCTCTTTTCTATTACTGCCAATTATATATTTTGATCCATATTATGGAAAGAGCAATTCCAACTTACAAACATATGATGGTGTGAACCATAGAGACTAATGAATCCACATGTGATGAGAATTAAGATATATTTGCTGAGTAAAACTACCATGTCATTGAATTGCTCACTTAAATTATGAACACATTTTTTTTTGTATATTTCGAATAATACTGCTAGATGCATTAGTGGTAAGCAACATCGACCAATAGAAATTCAAAATGGAATGTTATGAACAAGTGAACCACAATAAAATCAATATAGATCAATATAATACAGTAATAGTATGCGGTTCTTTTTATCCCCAGGAAATGACAAGTGACATCATCTAACAGATGATGCAGTTCCTGGAAAAGGAAGACATGCCAATACTTGAATGAAAATTTAACAAAAATTCCAAAACAATTTTGCTGATCAGCACAAACTAATTATGTTATTGTAAATAATTTGTCATAAAGAGGTAGCTATGCAAAGTTCTCTCTTTGAAGCTTTTTTTTTCAACAAATTTTCAAGGCATCAATTTGTTTCTGCATGTGCAACAAAGGCTACAACTGACAATTCAATTCAATTCATTATCAGTTTACCTTCTCAACATTCTCTTCATTCAGCTCAAGCCCAGTCTCCTTATCTGTAACAGGTTCAACAGCAGCAACATCTGGTATTTTCTCCATCAAGCGGCGCTCGATGCCCCTCTTGATCGTGATCAGCGAGCTTGGGCACGATCCACAAGCTCCTTGAAGCTTCAGCCTCACCACATTCCCGGCAATTTCATGAAGGGCAACATCCCCTCCATCTGCCGTCAGGTAAGGGCGCACTTGATCTAGAACAGACTCGACGTTCCCAGCGGTTAATGGCAGCTGCACCGCGGTAACCGGATCCAGGCCGGCAATGGCTCCAACAACTGCTACAACAACAGAATGAATTGGAACAGACACGGGTCCAGTTCATAAGAATATAAAATGTCCAGTAGGTATGCTGAATTGTTCGGTTTATTTCAATTATTTAATAGTGAATATATGCAATTTTGCTCGATTTCATTGGAATTTTGTGTGCATTTAAAAGCAACAGCCTCACCTAGCGGTGGTCGCTGGTGATTGGGGGCGGCGACCAATCTTGTCGCCGGAGAGGAGCTGCTCCGGCATGACGACCAAGCATAGGCCGCAACCTTGGACATTCCAATCATGCAATGCAGGAAAAAAAACCGCAAATATCAGGGAATGATCTAATATCAAATAAATAGAAGGGTGAGCCTTCGAATCCAGGTCGTCTAACTCATCATCTTGTGGAGCTAGCTAGAAGATCTCTAGGCGTTTCTCATGCAATGCAAGAACCAGGCGGGCAGCTCGGTTGGTTTATATCAAGTAAGGATCGAAGGAATCGCCAAAAAGACAAATGCAAGAGGTGTGGCGTCGCCTAACCTTGAAGGAGGCGGAGGAGGAGGTGGTGGTGGACGGCGCCACCGCCGCCGCTGCCGCCATGGGCACGGTCGTCGTCTGCATCTCCGGCAGGGCTGCAAGCCTTGCGGAGCTGAGACGGCGAGACGCGCGGTAGGCTCCTCCGGTCCCGCTCGATCTCTCGCTAGCTGTTGGCCGTGATGGTGTTTCGAGCAGCTATTTATGTGAAACGTCTAAAAATGGGGTCCTCATGCTTCCTCCGCATTTTGCTGTTAAAATTGCATGCAATTTTGGCATTTTGCATGCATGATGCATGGTGGGACATCTTATACCCCCCTGTTTCTTTCTAACAAATCTTTTGACAAGATGTTAACTATCTTTTCTTGACAACTATTTATTCGATCTGTAATCTGATTGCACCGTTGTACTTGTATGTAGTTAAATATTTATAACAAGATATTATATGATTATAATTCTGATAAAAAAAACATGATTAATTAAAATATTTTTACATTATTTGTGAAACTCGAGATATAACTATTGAAACATTATGAAATATTTGCTAAAATATTCAAAAACACCTCATGCATCATGCAACATTTACGGATGAACATTATAAAATATCATTGAAACATCCGAATAATACTACGTACTCCGTACAACACTAGAACATTAGAAAAAATACTTGCTAAACATGTGAATAACACCAATATTAGAATAGATCCACTATTAATGTTTTCGCTGGATCTTTTGGTATGTCGTTTGTATCTCTATCTGGTTATTATGTTTTTAAAAAATGCTACAATGTTTCTATCCTCCTCCGATTTCTACCCGTCTCTCCTGACTTTTGTCGGTTTTGCATGCGTTGGCTCTGTTCAGGTCGCTCTCCCACGCGTGACATTGGATCAACACTTGTTGTGTCCGTTTCTAGTCGGTTCGTTCCCAACGCAGCTACAGCCAAATTAAAGTCCTATCCAGCAGGCAGCAATGATTGCATAGATTGAAGGCAAATTATTTTATTCAATACACTTTAGTTCCAAATAAATAATAATAATCTTATAAAAACCATAATATATTTTAAAGTATCTATAAAATTTCTAATCTTTTTTTAATATCAGCAAGTCAATATATATATATATTTATTTATTATGTTTTTAACTATCCATATTAAATAAATTGATAGAGATGAATTAAATTATGCTTAATAATACTCTTTCTTTTTATTTATTGAGGGATATGCTTTACAAAGTTGAAAGCAAGAATGACTTGATACAACAATGCAAGTTGATGAATTAAATCTTATGATTATAATATGAAATTTCGGAATTTTTGTTCAAATTTTGGAAGTTTTTGTTGCAGGAGTATGTTGGTCATTTGGAAAAAATGTACAGTACTAACGACGACTAACTGAACGGTGAATGTAAATCGTAGTAGTTAAGCAAAAGTTGATGGCATATTATAGAACGTGATAAAGTCAGTGGCAAATCATAGACATCTCACAAACTCACAGTATAATGGATCCTCTCTCTTCTAAAAATAGACAAATAGTAAACACATGCACCACGTGTCTACACCGTGCACTCGTTCATTAGTCCTAACTAATGTGCTCGTGTTATTGACAAAAATAGCATCATTTCCTCTCTCTCCTCATGTGCATCTTTGTGTTGAAAAAACACCATATGCAATCCACATGCTGTAGTGACCAAATGAATGTCCAAGATCTTGGGAAAAAAATATATATATGAAGCCTATATTTAGAATGTGCATAGAAAAAGATAAAAAAAGAGGCATATTCATTCAAAGGAGTTAGGCCGTGTTTAGTTCCAAATTTTTTTCTTCAAACTTCCAACTTTTCTATCACATCAAAACTTTTCTACACACAAACTTTCAACTTTTCCGTCACATCATTCCAATTTCTACCAAACTTCCAATTTAAACAGCCTTAGAAAGGCATGGCACATCCTAATCCCTCGTCTCCTCACTAAGTCATTATTTCAAGCCCATTAGCCCAATCACCCCCCCCCCCAAAAAAAAAAAACTAAGTTGCCCTAACTCTTCCCTATTCCCTATGCATGGAGGATATCTCGGAAAAAGATGGGAGGATCATCCCAAAAAAAAACATGTGTTTGGTTAAAGGGAAAATTTGAACCATGCCACATAAATTTTGTAAAATTTGTGATATGCCACCCTGACTCACATGTCATTGACTCATGTGTGTCCTACATATCATTGAGATACAGGTGACATATCTCAAATTTTACAAAATTAGGGTGACATGGTTCCAACAAACCCATTCTTTTTTTTGAACCATCCCATCCAACAAACCCTTGGTATGGGATGGTTCAAAAAAAAAGAATATCCTCCAAATATTCGGGATGATCTTGTCCGGGAAAAACTGGCGGACAGCACTATCCCACCTTCACACTTGCGCCTCACACGCTTCTCGTCGCACGGTAACCCTCTCTCGCCCACTTCTTTTTCCACTGCTTCCTTTTTTTGGGTTAGCTAAAAATATGTTGACATAATTTTTTTGGCTAAATACAGTTAGTTTGTCTGCCATCTAATCTTCATCACTATTCCTGCAAAAGTGTATTTGGATAAGCCGATCGAACAATTTGTTCCCGAGGTGGCGAGTCCTTTTTCTCTGCATGACATGTTCAGGTTAGTGAAGGTAATTACACTATTTACACATAAATTATATTATAATTGCACATGTAAATATAAATTGCATTGTAGTTACATGTATAATTACTTTATAATTATAATTACATTGTAACTTTTTTATTACTCTGTAACTTTTATATATTTTGATTCTGAATATTTGTAGATAGTTTTTCTAGATAAAAGTTAATTTATGTTGTGTATTTTAACAGTAAATTTTAAAGCTTACCATATCGTATGAATGATTTGTGTTGCCTTTGATATAACCGTAACTTACCAATATTATTTTAATCATGTATTTTAATCCTGTGATCTAAAATTCAACAGTGTGGAGCTTAGATTTGTGGCGCCAAGTCTTCTTTTTTTTAGAAAATTCGATCCATAGCACAGGAAAGAAAGCAGTAAAAAAATAGCACAATAATTTTTTACTTTCGATCATAAGCACATGCCACCGATTTTTCTTCCCCCCATAGCACTTCCGTCGTGGTCATCATTCCAGTGAACTGTTTAGCTGTTAGTTAAGAGTTAGAAAGACCATATTGCTCTGGTTCATATGAGCCACACGGAGGAGACGATCGCCGGCCATCGAGAACTCCTCAAGCGTGCCGCTCCGTCACTCGACGTGCGGCTCAGCTTCGCCCAGGACGTCATGCCGGAGCTGGCCATGGTCACCGCGGCGAGGGCAATCGCTGAGTGGGACCACCCTGCCGCGGACATCACCCATCTCGTCATCTCCACCAACGCCGGCGCCCACACCCCTGGCGCCGACAAGCGGCTTGCGGCGCTCCTCGGCCTCCGTCCAGCGCGCCATCCTCTACATGCACGGCTGCTCCGCCTCGCCAAGGACATCGCCGACAACACCCACGGTGCGCGCGTGCTCGTGGCCTGCGCGAAGGTCTTCCTCATAGCGCCCGTCGCCCCCGACGAGGCCCACCTCGACACCCTCGTCGCCGCGTCGCTGTTTGGCCGCGGCGCCAGCGCCGTCATCGTGGGCACCAACCCGAGAGCCCCCGTCAAAAACCCTGTCTTCCACATGGTGTCCAATCGAATGGGAGTGAGAGCTAGGGTTTGGTAAAGAGAAAGAATGAAGAGAACAAGATGACACAATGGGAGATTACGGCAAGGAAGATGAAGGGCAAATGGGTCAAACAAAAATTTTCTATACTTTAATCTAACTCTGTTAATTCCAAATCCGACGGAAGTGCTACTGGGCGATGAAAAATCGGTAGCCTGTGCTTTTGATTGAAAGCGAAAAATTCTTGTGCTATTTTTTGGTACTTTTTTTCCTGTGCTATTTTTTTCTTTTTTTTTTCTCGCTCTTTTCGCTGTGAAAAGCCGGGAGGGTTTCCGTCTGTCCCTCTGTCCGTACCCACCAACTGCGTCATCTCTCTCTCAGGCCGTCGCGTCGCCGCCGCCGCCGCCGCCGCAGCCGCAGCCGCCCGCCGATCAGACGCGGTCTCGCGGTCGCGCCGAGCCGCTGTCCGCCAACTCGCCAACCCCCGCCCGCCTTCGCGCCTTGCTCCCGCCTCGTGCAATCGCGTCGCCTTGAGAAGCCGAGAGGCGAGAGCCGCAGTCGCCGCCGCGCCCGACGCCAAATAGCCAAGCCCGGCCAGCTTCGCGCCGTCGCGCGGTGCCGCCGCCGCCGCCGCCGACGCCCTCTGCGCTGCCCCGAGAGGCCGAGAAGCCCAAGGTAATTGTTGTCTGCTGCTGTGGTGCTGCGATTTTGGATTAGGAACATCTCTTTCATTTGAAGCCTGGGATGGCTGATTGATTGCTAGTATATTTGAACAATTGAACTTTCAGTTTTGAACCTTGTCCCAACTCCCAAACTCCCAATTTGAACCTTGTGAAGCATTGCCAGTTAGAAGTTTCCTACTTTCATATGTTAAGCACATTCAATTTATAGCCAATTTTATGAATTTATGAAATTATACTTATATCTGCTATATATTATCTAATAGTAGTTTAGAACTACATGAAATTAAACATATCAAAATTAGGCTTTGGGTTGTAAAATTTTCTTATTCCTTCACATTTCGAATACCTAACCTCAAAATCATTGGCTTGTCCCTGACAAGGAAGGAACACAACTTTTCCCATTTTTAGGAAGGAACATAGTTGGTCGCCCTAAATTTCGTTAGAACACACACACTAGTAGCAGAGAGGGAGAGATAGAGAGAGAGACTGAGTTGGCACAAGACTTGTTTTATGGATAGGTATATCTCAAATACGAGGAGGTATATACCTCTCCAAGGATGGGAGAAAATCTCTATAATATTTGCATATTTTAACTTGCTTGTTAAGTTAGCTGACTATTGTTGTTATAAGACTCTATTGTTATATTTCTAATTTTGTATAGCCCTTTCACTAACTTTGAACTTGTGTATAAAATTTTGGTATGTGATGTTAACCTGCAATTTTGAAGTAGGACTACCCAAGGAAAAATTCCTAGCTATACCACTGTTTGCCATGGCGCCTGCCGGCTTCTTCGACCTCAGCATCCTCCCCGACGACTCCAAATCTACCACCACCAACACTAGCGTAGTCGCCCGTGCCCTTGACCTCGGCTACTCCGCGGTCGCGCTTGATCACCCTCACCGTGGCCTACTCACTGACTCCCATGCACCTATTGCCTCCTCTCTCCGGGTGTCACCCTCCGCCTCCCTCCACCGCCGTCGACATCCCTTCCTACAATACACGCGCATCACCCTCTCCCTCGACTCCGCTGCCGCCTGCGCCTCCGCCCTGGCCCCCTCTGCCGCTCGCCTCCTTCGCACCTATGACATCGTCGCCGCGCGGCCGCTCACCCAAGCCGCCTTCGACCACCTCTGTCAGGCCACATTTGACCACCTCAATATTGTCTCCATCGACTTTTCCCACAAGCTGTCCTTCCGCCTCAAGCTCCCCATGCTCAAGCTTGCACTGCAGAAGGGCCTGCACTTGGAGATCGCCTATTCTCCCCTCATCGCTGATGCCGCTTCAAGGAGACAGGCCATAGCCGAAGCCAAGGTTGGCCATCTCTTGCTCTTCCTTATTGCCTTTGCATATCGTAATACTAATACTCAGTTCCTTAGTAACCAAAACCTTTTCATCTTTTTTCAGCTCTTGTATTACTCAGTTCCTTAGTAACCAAAACCTTTCACCTTTTTTCAGCTCTTGGTGGAGTGGACTAAAGGAAAGAATCTCATCATATCAAGTGCTGCTCACACTGCTTCTGAAATTAGAGGACCCTATGATGCCATAAACTTATCTTCTTATTTGCTTGGCCTTTCTACCCAACGAGCCAAAGCTGCTCTATCCGTCAACTGCAGGTCACTTGCACGTCTCTTATATGATATCCGTAGCTTATTTTAGAAAGCTAGGCAGTTTAGCATGAATCATGATGCCGTGCCATGTATTCTAAGCCATATGTTCATTCTCAGGTCACTGGTTTCCAAGGCTCTGAGGAAAAAGCACTTCTACAAGGAAACCATTAGAATCGACAGGCTGTTACCAAATAGGCAGTTGAATTCAGCAGACTTCAAGCTTGCTGACTGGATTAGTTGGGATCCTATGCCTCATGAAGTAGATCTGCTATCTTTGGAATTGCCAGCTTACAAAGGAGAACCACAATCTCTTGATATAAATCCAGAACCTTCTGCCAATGAAGATGATTGAACTACTGCATTTACCTTATGATGGTGATGAGTCCCTCTTTGTCGAGCAGCAAGAGCAGTTAAGCCATGGCAACGAAATCCTATTCCCAGTTGAAACTCAAGAAGGGCCTGTGCAAGTTAGCAGAGTGAAGTCTTATGACTTGTGTATTGTCTGAAGAATAGGTAAATTTTTTGTTTGTTCTTGAGAGCGAGAACACAATTCTCTTGTACCACATTCCAATCCATCTCAGATATTGCAATTTTGGTTGCTACTTAAATAGTTACACATTGTTCATTCTTCCGCTATGAAAGATCGGACCATCTACATCGATCGATCATGAGTTTTGATCTACATTTTAGCTTTTATATATTCAGCATCTGGATCATGATTTTTTGTTATGGATTGTTGACGGCAACTGGACTAGCAGAAAGTAGTGTTTATAGCTTGGTCAATAAGATCCCAAGCAGCAATCAGATTTTACAACAGATCATACAAAACCACGATATCTAGCTCATTCCCTACTGCCAACAATGACAACATTTAATCATGTAAACCTGCCATACGAAGGACATGCGTAAATTCGAATATTCAGGTTAGTTAAATCAACTGTTTGCACATAATAACAGTATAAATTAAAGAGAAATATACTAAATTTGTACCTCGAAACATGTGTCCAAAGATTAAATGTAGATAAACCCATGTATAAAGCTTAATGGCTATAACAATGTTGCAATACATATAACCACAGTGTGCTCGTGGTAAAATGACAGCCTTGAATTGGAATCCACAAGCCCCCGGTCCAATCCATACGAAGAGAAGAAATCTAGTGCCGCATGAATATTTCACATGTTACAATGTTACATCCTACTTCTGATTAAAAAACCAACCAAATCCTCAACTACCACAGGTATGCATAATCAGGGCGACATAGTCAAAAAAGAGAGTAGGCGTATGAATGTATTTATATTAAGTTAGGAGATCATGGCCCCCCTTCGGTCTGTGGCTCAAAAAACTTAATCAGCATCTAGCATTAATCCACTTCTTGGCCTCTCTACCACAGTTCCAGTGACAACATGTGATCTGCTATGTCTTCCAAACTGCGATCATCTAATCACATTTGATGTTTCTGTAGATTCTCCTCACAAAAAGAGTTGACCCTAGATAGCCAATAGCACCTGAATCGCCAAAACAGATGTCAAAACAAAAACATCATAATGATAAAGTGTCACGGATTAAAAGGTACTAGTAGAAATTAAGATCTTACCACAAAGTATGCCTAGACCAAGGCAGAACATCAATGTGTAACCGAAGTAGAAACTCGTCTGGAAAAAACCTGACATCTTTGTCTTTACATGATAGTAGTAGATGGAATATAGATACACATATAACGCAGTTGATGCAGCAGAGAGAAATGAAGTCCATTGCCAGTGATAGTTCTCAGCATTCAGCAAGAAATAAGTACCCACAATAGTGACACAGATTGTAACTATTAGAAGGATGACAAAGACCAGCAGCATGAAGCCGTAGACATAATAAACCTGCCAAGGAAGTCAAACGAATTGTCACGATCAAATTATCCATATTATTAAAATTAAACAAAGTGCATAGACAGATGTATGAAGCAGACATATTAGAAATCCACCAAGAGTTCATTCAAAAAATAAATTGTGTAATTTATGAAGCAGCCATATAAGAGGTTGAACACCAGTACACCATAGGCACTACTTCTGTTTCCAAAACAAACTTGGATACTTAAGTTAAACTGTTTACCTTGTAGTTCCAGAATGACGTGAACACAAAGTACATCTCAATGAAGATACTGCCAAAGGGAAGCAGCCCACCCATCAATGAGATAACAGAAGGTGTAAGGTACCACTTCTTCTCTGGAATAGGCCGTGGAATAGTCTTTACTCGGCAGGGATTGTTAGGAGCACCACTCCAGTTCCTACCAACAACAGTTCCCAGAAGCACCAGCGGAAAAGAAATGAAGGCCCAAAGAACGAACATGACAACCATTGTGCCGAATGGTATTGCCGCTAATGATCGGTAGAAGATAGCAATTGTATTCAGAACAAAGCCAATTGCAAAGCACAAGAATGGAAATAGGGATGCTGTAAGGATCATAGCCTTTATCCAGTTTTTACCTGCCATGTAAGGAAATTACGGTTCAAAAAACCATACATCATGAAGTGGGAAAATATAATATATGACAACATGCAAATTCTAGAAACTTCAAAAAAAAAAAAAGGAATGACAGGAGGAAACTATGAAACAGAACCTTGAGAAGAGATTGAATTGCACAGACAAATAATACAAGAAAATAATGCAATTCCAAAAGGAAAGAACCATACCACCATTCCTTGAGTAGAGGCCACCACTGACATAGCCAGAAATAAAAGATGTAAGAGCATAGCACACAATGAAGGTTGTGATGATAGACCCTCGCCTGACAAATATCGCGCGCTATATAAGTTAGAAAAGCAAATCCATGCACAAAATGTGAAATGCTAAAAAAAAGAAAAAAACTTAAAGCTGTTTTCAAAATAATATAGGAATTTTATATCTTTAGGATTCATACAATCACAGGCCTTAGGGATTTGGGCTAATGGATGTGTGCATTTTTAACAGAAGGCAGACATTCCACCACTCCAACCAGTAAAGTGAGAAACACAATACAAGGCAATTTTTGGACAATGAAAAGGTACAGTTCCTTTCTTTTCTTAGTTCTTTTCAGCATGGTTAGGACATAAACAAGAAATAGTCGTTTGACCAAAATGTTATCTGCACTTAACAACCTATGTGCCGTTGTTTCTCAGGTTCAGACGACTGGTGAGTGGTGAGCCAGTTCCCAGTAGTTTTAAGTCATACCAACCAGATGCAGAAAATTTAATCCAAGACATTTTAACAAAATTGTCTATTATGCATGTTAGATTCAGAACAATTCTTCATTATTGAAATTGATTACTGCAGAATCAAGATTTTCCAGGTAAAGTACAGGACATGGAAGGTTCCTGGACAGCTTTCAAAAAACATGTGGTGGGAACCTAACAAGTTCAGGTATTCCCTATCTTCTTTCTTTCATCTATTGAGTAATATGGTAGTTTCATTGGTCAGCAACTCAGGTATTCCAAACTATGCATTGTATGTGCAAGGAGATTTTGGGGATGGGGGTTGCTTACCCAACATATAGCATGCCAACAATGGCCAATACAATAACAAGAAGGATAAGAGCTGCCAGCTGAGTGCCGATGCCAACAACTGCAGAAAGAAAGGCCAAACTTCGAGGAGGGCGAAATACATCACCATGAACAAGCTTCCATCCAGATTCCTCATTAACATCTCTCTCCTAACAAAAGGAATATCAAGACTTGAGGTCCCAATCGAGTGGCACTAGGTGAAAACAAATCCAACTTAGATGCTAGAGCTAAGAATACAATTAAACAAAAGGTAGATATACCAGTGACTCCAGATCATCATCTTCACGAGCATACTTTGCATAGTCATTTCTCAATGTCCGCATCAATATCATTGAAACCAAACCAGTGAGGAAAATAACCATCATGAAAGAATTGAAAATGGAGAACCAATGAATCTGAACATTAGAAATTTGCATAGAAGTCAGAACCTTTGAACAACTTTCAAAAAGAACAAGACGATTCAGCTCCCTGTTGTTACAATTAACATTTTTTCTCTTTCACATAAGTAAGCAAGCTGAGAGCTGCATGTTACGCATAGTTTTTTTTTCTTTGGAGTGGGAAAATATTACCTGGTGCTCAAAGAAAGGATAATCCAGGTATACTTCAAAGCGGCGTGCAAAGGTCACATCTGTTTGTAACCACTTCACTGAATATGTCATGTCCAATTTCTTACCAGCTTCAAGAAGCTTAGGAGACTCTTGGGTGAGATTAACATGAATGATCTAAAATAATAAAATGAGATCAAATTATGTTATCATGTCAAAAGCAATGTGGTAATGAAAAGTTTTATCACTTTTATGCAAAACTCGTACCCTGTTATCATTGTATTTGACAAGAATGCTCTTGTGTGTGTAGAGATAACGCTTGTTTTCATTGTTTTTGTCCGTCTCCCCAACAAAACCTGTTTAAAGCACATAGCCAAAATCTAGTTAAGAAAAGAAGTGCAGGGAAAAAAGACAGAGAAATCAATGGAAGTACAGGTTGATAGAAACATACCCCAAAGAGGCAGATCATCTAGGAGAATATTGCACCAAGAATGCAAAAACAGTTGATAAAAATACAATGTCAGAAACAAAAAGAACTTTAAAAAACACAATGTTACTACCCAAATCAAAATATCGATTCACATACCCATGAAAAACTCGAACCAGTATGAGTTATCAATGGCATCGGAGAACTGCTGAACCTTTTTAGAATCAAGCTCAAGTGTACAAATGGAGCCCCTCTCCTCATTTCCTAAACCAAAGGAAGCACTTATACAATTCATAAGACAAGAAAATACACCAATCTGTGGGGCATTAGAGCAAATAGTAGATAAACAAAAGGATAGAATGAAAGAAAGATTGACATACTTAAGAACTTTATGTCAATCTGACTATCAATCAGCTCATTTCCACCCAGGACCTCTCCAAGACCACCCCATTTATGCGCAGGGTTCTCAGATGGTTGACAAAATGGAAGGCTGTGATAGTTGTAAGTTTCTTGTGGATTATTGTAAGGGCCGACTTTGTTCACCCAGAGCTTAACTGGTTCTTCAACTTTGTACTGCATATAAGAAGCATAAAAGGCAGATGAGAACTGTTGAGCTCACAAAGTTCTACCATGGAATTATGGTAAACATAATAATGAATTTATTTTAGGAAAGGAAACAGCACTTAAGATATTCTGCTGCAAATTCTCACTCGTTATATTTTTGTCTACTACTTCTAACCAAGATGCATGCCAACATGCAAGAGAAGCCATGGAAGAATTTATAGGTAACGCAAGGCTAGCTGTTAGCACATTTCTTGAAACCAAACAACACTATTGACCTTACTATACCAGAAACTGTCCTCAGTCATAAGAACACATCGTAGCTAGTGCTTAATCTTGACTTTAAAGTACGCAATAAAGCATCAAGGCGTGAAATTCCTTTTTTTTCCTGGAAAACACCATGTACCATAGTGTAAGACATTGCTGCCTCAATTTAGATCATGTGCTACATACACACAAGGATCGCGTAGTCTCGATCTCAAGCTTTGAACACAGGGGAGCGCGATGATGAGTAAGTATTTTTCCACTACCATAATCTACAACCTATTTTCCTGCCGATTATTTTTCTTTTCTTGTTGCGATTATACGGCGCACACCACTACGCACACAACATCCACAAGCTCTTGAGAGACGGAAACCAACGGCGCATTCCTGATCTCACTAAAATTCCATTCTCTACGCGCGCGCGCGCGCGCGCGGAACAATTGTAGTAACATCCTCGGCGACCGGACCCGCACGAACGCTCGCACCGGCCACAACCAGAGCGAGATCGCGCGCATGGTTGCCCGGATCTGGCGCCGGGGGTGCGACCAGCTCGAGCGTGCGTGTAGGGGGGGTAGGAAGAGGTTTTAGATCGAGAGGGAGGGGGATAGGCTAGCGAGCGAGCACACGCACCTTGTGGTCTGACTCGGAGGCGGAGGCGGGGCGCGGCGTGGCGAGGGCGAGGAGGGCGGCGGCGAGGGCGAGGAGGAGCGCGCGGCCGCTGCCGCGGCAGGCGGAGGCGGAGGTGGGGAGCAGCATGCCGCCGCTGCCGCCGGCGAGATCTGAGGAGGGTCGGGTCGACTCACGAGCTGATCACGAGCCAAGCCGCGGTTGATTTTCTTTTGGTTTGGTCGAGCCGTGGGGGGAGGAGTCGGGTGGATCGGGATGGATCTCGGGTGGGCTTGGACGGCCGTCGGATGTTTGACCATTGACTTTTTTTTTCTAAGGACACTTACACTTTTTTTTTTAACAAAATACAACTTCCTTTTTTTTTAACAAAATACAACTTCCTTTCAAACTTGGAAGGCGAATGTTTTACGTGTTTTGTGAACTGTACTGAAATGTTTGATGTGTATTTTGTACTGTACTCACGGCGGAGTATCCGCAGATACCCGACTTGATGAATATAGGTTTGGTTGTAGAGCTGTTTTGGATTGAAGCTAAAACGTGTCCCTACCAAAAATTTTGGTAACTCAAATAGTAAACGTGTTTTTTTATTGAAGCAAAACAGTTGGTAGTGCCCATGCTCAATTTGGCTATATTCTAGAATTTTCTTCACCATCCTCTTAAAATTTAGCTTTATATTGGTATTAAACCAAACATAGACTAGCTAATTTTGTCCTACCAAAAAAATTGGTAGTGCCAAAATTTACCTAGATTTTGGCACTACTAATTAATTGGTAGGGTAAAAAACCAAATAAGCCCGTAATGTTTTATTTGTGGGTATGCTCGCCAAAGACCTGAAAAACATAGTAGGTAGCGGCCGAGTTTTGATTTGTTTTTTCCATGGGTAACCTATGCCCAACCCGGTATAGATGTATTAGTTGATTTTGGCTCATTTCTTAATTCTCATACGCCTCTCTCTTTTATTATTTGTGATGCTAGCTGGTGCTAACTTGCTATTCAATTTAAATTATGGTTGATAATTTGGTAAATTATTGATTTTATTTTTCTTTGTTAAATTGCCTATTTATTGAGATATTATTCGAGCGAGAGCCACTCGCCATCCACCGGATATGCCTGTGTCTGCTGGGCATAGGTATGAGCACGGAGTTTTGCCTGCTAACCTTAGTGGGCATGGTTCGGGCAAGCGATTTCGGGCACTCAATCGGGTATGTTTTTGTTCTACCCGTGCCTGACCCGGCCCATTACCATCCCTAGTTAGGGTAGCAATATCCTGCAAAGGAATAAGTTCACTTTAGGTCTCTTAATTTGTCACCAAGTTTGAAATTTATATCTCAACTGTAAAACCGAATACAATGCATCCTCTAATTTACAATACTAGTGCAAACAAGCTCCCTCAACAATATTGTTCCTTGTTTTAGCTGACGTGATGTCTATGTAGCTCCTTTGACTAGGTCTTCTTCCCACGTGACATTGACGTGGCGTTACGTGGTAATTTGATTCGGAAAAATAATAAAACTAGTGGGGCCCATATGTCAGTTACGCACACAAAATAAAAAAAACGTGGGGCCCATGTGATCCCCATATGTCATCCTCACTACTCCCCTCTTCTCTCTATCCTCTATCTCTCCCCTGTATGTGGCCAGAGCAAGCGACGGGCGGGATGGAGCGGCCAGGCGGTGGAGCGGGCTGCACGGCGACCAGAGCGGCGACGTAGCGCTAGCTGCATTGGGATGGTGTGCGGCGAGATGGCGTTCACCCGCACACCGTCCCGTGCCAGCTGCCTCGCCACCGTTCACACCATGCCGACGATGGCCGCCTTCGATGTGGAGTATGCGCTAGGTCCAAAGCCGCCGACCACCTCCATCGTGCTGGTCGTGCACAGGATGCAGCCCGTGCGGTGAGGGGCCATGACGCGCACCGCGTGCTTGACGAGATGTTGAGGTCGAGGGCTATGACACGGTCGTCGAGGTCGAGGGTCACCAGGGACCGGGCGTTGACGTCCATGACGCAGTTGTAGTCGTTGAGGTCGAGGGCCGCGAGCGTGGCTGAAGGTATCGCGCTCGCGATGCCGTTGTTGCTGCAAATGACGTCGACATGTGCGTGGCATACCATGGCAAGATCGACGGCCGCGACAATATCCCTCTCAACACGGCATCCGGCCCGAGCTCTCTGGCCACGGCACGACCGAGATCGTCATGGATATCAGCAATAGTAACATTGGCGCCATTCCCAACGAACTCCTACGTCGTGGCCTCGCTGAATGGCTTAATGCCATGTGGGACGAAGACCTAGTTAAAGGAGATACGAAGGTGCCACGTCAGAAAAAAACCGGAGACAACACTATTGAGGTACCTTATTTGCATGGTTTTGTAAGTTGCAAGCTGTATCCGGTTTGTGGTCCAGGGACGAATTTTCGACTCGACGATATATTGGGGGACCTAAAGTGAACCTATTTCGTCCTGCAAAATAGCAGGCGAGACGTCAAATGTTTGGGTCGAATTGGGCCCATCTCCCACTTCACCTGGTGGGCCCTCCAGCACAGCCTAGCCCAGCCCATTCAGCAACACACACAAAAAAAAAAGGAAAATATCGTCAAGCAACTAATCCACCTTCACCAACCCACTCCCGTCATCGCCACCTCATCCACAGCCATGGCGACCTCCTCCGCCGCCGCCGCGCTCCGGCTTCCCGCCTCCCAGCTCCCCCTCTCCGCGCGCCCCTCCTCCTCCTCCACCCTCCGCTTCCCTCCCCGCCGCCCCGCGCGCCGGGGAGGCCTCGCGGTCTCCGCCTTCACGAAGCTCTCCGAGGCGTCCCCCGTCGCCATCCCACCGGAGCCCGCGCAGCCGTTGCCGGACGAGGAAGCCCTGCCCCCCAAGCCCGGGGTCTACGGGGTGTACGACCCCGCCGGCGAGCTGCAGTTCGTCGGGATATCGCGCAACGTCAGGGCCAGCGTCGAGGGCCACCGCCGGAAGGTGCCCGCCGACCTTTGCGGCTCCGTCAAGGTACACCTCATACATACTCTAGGATTTAAGTGTCTTCGTGTGAACGTTTCTGTGGAATAATCCACTGAATAATTGTACTGGATGAAATTACGATCTGAAAAAAAGATTGAAATGCGGCAACATTTTCCCTTGCAAAGTGTGAAGGATGAAACTGAAGCTTATTCGGAGTCAACAAGCATAGGCAGACCATCCTGTAGCTAATTCAGCACTGTAATCAGTGTCAGGCTGTCAGCACCATCATTAGAATTTTATAACTGCATTAGTGGGCCAGTTCTTTTTATTTAGGCTCTGTTAGGCACAGCTCCAGCTCCAACTCCACCTCTCCTGTAGCTGGAGCTCAGCCAAACAGTTTCAGCTCCACCTAAACTGGGAGTGGAGCTGAGTGGAGCGCTCTCACAAAATGAACTAGAGATGTGGAGCTGGGTTTTGGTTACTCCACAACTCCACTCCAGACCCAACTCTTAGAGCTAAATTTTAGAGTTGGAGCTCTACCAAATAGGGTCTTAAGTCGAATTCGGAAGTTACCGACTGAGGTACTTCCATCTACAGCCAATTAATACCCCGGGAATTATTAATCAATCTGATCATTTGGTGCATGCTGGAGCCTATAAATAAAGCATAGCATTGAGTAAAATAGAATGGCCTTGTGACCATGGTGGCGATCGTGTGTGTGTGGCTCTGATACCAAGATGTTAGGAGCCGGTGCTGTTTCTAGGCTTTGCAGGTGGTATTGGTGCTCAACAGGAGGGCGAGGTGGACCTCTCCTCCCTGGAGCCGTGATGGAAGATACAGGAAGAAGGGAGGAATTAGGAGATTAAATTCTTGCTTGCCTTTATTGATTCAGAGAAGGCATTACAATCTGCTAATGCTGAGGAACTAACTTTAACTGAAAAGAAAATCTTAAGGAACAAATTCTTATCTAATGGCAAGAAGAAACGGAAATCCGAATGCCGGCTCGCCGATGTGCGCGGTTCGCGTGCTCACATGCCTGTCATGCACCACCATCGCGACCACGCCACACGGAGGGAATTACCCACATAACATCCACTTGGTCATGCATAACAAGGGCATACCAGGTGTGTGTCTGATTTTGCTTGCACACCAAAATAGTGGAGAAAAAGGAAAGATTTAAAATCGTGCACTAGAAATGTTAATCAGTTTCACCGTTTTGATATATTGTTGGACACAAAATGTTGCTTTCCACAAAACACTAGGCTGTGTTCGGCTCTTTGGTTGGGAATTAATCTCTTGCACGCAAAACGGAGCGACTTATTAGTACATGATTAATTAAGTATTAGTTTTTTTTTGAAAAATGGATTAATATGATTTTTTAAAACCAACTTTTCTATAGAAAATTGTTGCGAAAAAGCACCATTTAGCAGTTTGGGAAGCGTGCACGTGGAAAACGAGTGAATAGAGGTTGGGAAAAGTGCGAAAAGAACACAGCCTAGGTGAACTAAAAACCAACTGTTCTGGTCACTAACAATATATTGATCCTGGTCTACTATGCCAAGGGCAAGATGATACTTCAGAAGGCACTTCTGATACTATGTGTGGTAATTGAGATGGCTTTTTAAGTGTTAACAGATCATCGCATATCCTCATGTTGAAAACATTGTGTGACTATACTGCCCTCGATCCTCTGCTTGATTAGAAGAGAAATGAACCGAAAAGTACCTTGCAACCGATTGTAGGGTGATATTGAGATATGAAAGAGTAGCACAAACATGTTCTCACATTGCACTCTGTAATAAAATTCTTGAATTTCCCCCGATCCACTATTTAATTTGCTTCTACTCAAACAATTAATAGAGAAGGTTTAGTTTGGATACTGTATAACTAATAACTAAATATCTGTACTAAAAGATATAGTCGTCCTCCTCCCACGCGCGCAGCATGAAAAGTCTTCGTAAAAACCAAACTGGTCTACCTCTCCCACCCTACTGCCCCCTCCCAAAATTAACTGACCAATAAAACCAGATTATATAAAATCATTATTCCCTATTCATCCAGATCCCATTGCAATGCATGGGCATAGCACTAGTAGTAGTGAAATAGTTGTGTTATTTAAAGAAGAATAACAATTGTAGTTGAACTCTAGAAAATAAATAAATAAATACACAAAATGAGTTCTTGTTCTTCTAAATTTCTAACCAATTTGGAGACAGATGTGGCAAATGAATGTTTGAAACAGTTGTTAGGGTGTGTTCGCTGGTTCTAGTTCCCATCCAGCACAGTGAGGACGGAAAACGGAGCGATCCATTAGCGCGTGATTAATTAAGTATTAGCATTTTTTTTCAAAAATGGATTAATTTGATTTTTTTAAGCGACTTTCGTATAGAAACTTTTTGTAAAAAACGCACCGTTTAGCAGTTTCAAAAGCGTGCGCGCGGAAAACGAGAGAGAGGGGTTGGGAAAGTGGGCATCCAAACACACCCTTAGACGCTAATTGATCATTCTTTATATCCTCAATAATACTATAGGATTTAGCAAACCAGTTGTACCTAAGTTAATCTTCTGAAGTAATTCTGTGTGTTTTTTCTGTATTACTGGGTGTGTTTCCCCCAGGGTGGATGGTTGTTTTCTTTTTAGTTTTATGAACTCTGTAATGAACCGATGGTAGTCTGCATTTCATTAATGAAATGGGAGAGGGCTGCTCTCTTTCTCAAAAAAAAAAAACTAAGTTAATCTTCCAACAGCAAAAAATTTTGGCTACATTTTAAGCTTCTGATTTCTCATTTTGATCACATCGCTTCTGTTTCTGACCGCACTGGCGTACTGTCATTAACAGGTTTCAATAGCAGATGAGGAGACACCAGATCGAACTGTCCTGACTAATGCCTGGAAGTCATGGTTGGAAGAACATATAACAGCCACCGGAAAGGCACCGCCGGGGAATGTTGCTGGAAACCACACCTGGGTTGGACCTCCACAGAGGCCTCCGGACTTGCGATTGACACCTGGCCGCCATGTTCAGCTAACCGTGCCACTGGAACAATTGATTGATCGGTTAGTGAAGGACAACAAAGTGGTCGCGTTCATCAAAGGATCAAGGAGCGCACCCCAGTGCGGTTTCTCGCAAAGGGTTGTGGGAATCTTGGAATCACATGGAGTAGATTTTGTAACCGTTGATGTTCTTGACGAGGAGCACAACCATGGGTTGCGAGAAACCCTGAAGACATACAGCAACTGGCCGACTTTCCCACAGGTTTTTGTTGGAGGGGAGCTTGTGGGTGGATGTGACATTGTTTCATCCATGGCCGAGAAGGGGGAGCTTGCTGCCCTTTTTAAGAAATAGGACTCACTCTGGAGTGCTTAAGTAATGCCTTGAACTACTGTTACCTGATGCGAATCGCTAGCTTGGCAGCTACCATCATTTTACATGCTGCAGTAATGCTTCATTTACTGCAAGGCACATTGGTTTGGATCAGTTATACATATACACGTTTCTTTGATTCAGATGAGGAAATGCTGTAAATTGTAATATGGTGGTTGCTTTTTGAGAGAGGATTTGCAAGGGCAGAGGGCTGTCAGTATTTTGTGGTCGTTTCAGATTTTGTACGTGAAAATTTGTATCGTTATGAGAAGTGAAAAATTGTATCGTTATGAGAAATAAGTATATGCTGCATAACTGATGGCTATTCAGTGCTGACTGTGTAGATAATTACTTGAGTGCCTCAAGTTAGATATGAACCTATTATTACGACATTAAACTATCAAAGTGTCATTGTGGTTAAACCTCGAGGTTCTTTCGTAGCTTCAAACATAGTATATCATCTTATACCTCAGTAATAATTCCTTGACCCTCTTGTTTTATGAAATGTTGTACCGTTTCTAATAATTAGCTGAATCATTTCCCTTTTTCTGCTCCTAGACTGTTTCATTGTGGGTTTTATCAAAAACTCAGCAGTGCAGCCCACCTTACGGCCCAGCCCGGTAGCTATCGGGCCCATTTCTCAAGTTACTCAGACGGCGTTGTGCTAGACGATCCATTCAGTACCTGGTAATGTTGGTTTCTGGAGTACAAAAGCTGGATAGGCTCTTGCCGATCTTTGAGCTAAAACCATTATCAAGACTTAAAAATACACTGTTCTCATTAAAAAAAATTCCTAAAAAAAATAATAACATTGCATATGATCTAGATTTATAGCTAAATATTACTATATTTTAAGACGGAGAGAACAAATATGAATTGTCTATCATCTACTAATAAGAAAACATGAATGCCTCATTTGGAGAGCTAGCTTATAATTGTCAATCACAGAGACATATCACTAGATGTGTGTGTGTGTGTGGAGGGGGGGGGGGGGTCGAATCTCTCCTGATTAATACTCATGATTATCTACATGCATGGTGTGTATGTGTGTTTTTATTAATAGCTAGCTAGAATTTTGATAAGGTTTCATAAATTATTTTCAGGTACGTAGGCCTCCTCCTGCAAGTAGGGTAACATTAAAATGTAGAGAGATGTATCGCGAATGTGTGAGTATGGTGGAATTAATGATGTTTATCGTTTAGTCAACTTAACTTACAAAACTATAAGTTTTTATTAATTTAATTAACTCTCGGACTCTTGTTATCTTGCATACAAAGGACATACATGCTTTAATTAAGCACAGCTCAAACCTTTGCATTAGTCATACCAACACAAATTTAATCACATTATATATACGAAGTTAGTTTTTACACGCCTATCAAATTACATCCGGCCATATCATGTTAACGTCACAAACCACTATAGTCGTTGCAATTGCTTCAAGGCAGAACAATGGAAATTAAATGCAACACCAACCATGCATCTTTCTTTTATCCCCTCTCATTGACTAGCTGTCTAGAAATGAAACCAAAACTTCCTAAATATTGAATCACCAAATCAAAATGGCCCTATCAGTGATGCTATCTTCTCTCTAAATCTGTGAAAATTCTATCAATTTAACTGTTTTGCAATGACAAGAGGACCAATAGAATCTTTCCATTTAGTTGATGCTATATGCCACCTATAACCATCTGCATGCTTAATTATGGACAAAATGAGGCGTCTTTGGTGGTTAACTGGATGTTAACTAGAGCATCGAACCTACACTCCTCAATTTCTTGTTAGGTGATGCTGATGATGCAATATTGATGACAAAGATCTGCTTGAGCTTTCTTGTGCATGTACATATACCTTCTAGAAGATCTAGTGCATGTGCACTTTCGACATCGTTGATGTAACACACTGTTTTTTCTTTTCTGCAGTTGCTCAACTGATCCAAGTGTTAGGTAAACATGATGCGCTGATCATGACTGCCACAATATACAGTTCATGAAAGGAAAAATTAAACAGATGTGACTTTATATATTCAGTATTATTATATGAAATTTTACTCTAGAATTAAATTAAGAGGTGGTTACAAATCTTTCGAGGTCTGCAATATATATGGACATCCGGCAATGCATCTACATGTCACTTGCATATCTCTTTTGCCGCCCTTATAGCTTATCACGTGAAAAACTCGAGAAATTTGGCGATTCGGCACTAGGTCATATTACACTTTATACCATCCATTAGCATCTGGATTTGGACAGTTCTCACCCAAGCACTACATGCATCTAACCATTTTATCATTGGTAGGGAAGCCACTGGGGGTGGGGCCACCTAGGCTAGCTTCTAGAAGGTGAGGGGCCACACTTTATTTCCCAAGAGCCATCAAGTTTTTGCCCAAAACTACTGGAAAGGACACTGGTGATTCTTAGAAAGAGGAAAGCTATACTAGGATTGGAACTCATGCATGATCATCTGTACATCTGTTGAATAGAGGTGCCATTGTGGTACCAACCAACAACAACCACCGCCCAATGTAACCTAACCATTGCCATCACCATCCAAATGCTGTTTGCTGAAGCACCCAGTGGGGAAGATTCGACATTAATTTCCTAATGCAAAAAAGGTATAGAGATATCATATAGATGAACTAAATGTGTTTTTGAATCATATGGTCAACCATCACAAACTTTTGACCATCAACATATAAGATGAATTATATATATCTCTTACAAGATTTGGTCTTCAAAACGAGGACATGCTTGAAAGCATATGTTAATTAATTATTAGCTTTGTGAAAACAGCTTGTCATTAAATTATAAGTATTTCTATATATACTCCCTGTGTTCTTTTTTGTGTCGTTTTAGAATGCTTACAATCAAACCTCGAAATCTTAATTCACAAATATATGCAATCAAATCTTAAGATTTAGTATATGAATATATATGACATTGGAGATGTGTCATGAAAAATTCTTTCATGTACTTATCCTTATATTAATTATTTTTATAAATATATATAGATAGAAATAATGAGTAAAAACATCAGGTGACTATTTAATTTATTAATGAATACTCCCAAAGAAACCTACATGCGTATATAGGTTGTTACATAACACAAAACTACGGGTTTTCTTACATAACACAAAGCTACGGGTTTTCACAAAAACTTGCACATGACATGACCATAGGGAGGTACATGGGCAGATATCATACTAGCACAAACCCATATTTTCGCCATCATCCCAAGCACCACATTTCTCACTTGATTGACCGTATATGAGGTGCAGATGGTGCAACCCTTTTTTTCTAGGGTGAGCTTGGTTTGGCCAAACTTGACAAAATATTTCTATTCTATAGCATATAAGCACGCAAGTAATCCCGCAAGATCATGTGTTTGCACTTGAGCATAGTTTTTCTACAACCTAGTTAAGTCATTGAATCAAAATGCAAAAGGCATACATGATGCGATGATGTTGGCCTTAGGGTTTGGGGAGAGCTGGCTTGTCAATCTCTACTAGTACTTATTGGAGCACTTTCGCTATATGTTTCGAAACAAAAGAACGTAATTCCAATGGCGTTCTTAACTTTTTGGGGACCAAAAACCATGTCAAAGAATTCACCTCATTGTTAGTTGGTCATAAGTCATTGTACAAAATGATCTTGGTGGTGTCACTCGTTCTGAATGGATGCTAACTTTGGTGGGAAGGTTCATGCATGACATCTGTAATCACACGCTTGTTGCTACTTCCCTACAAGAAAACCACCTTTTGTTGATTCATATCATCTCAGCCTTTTCTTGGTGTTGATCATACTATCGGCTCTTACTAGCTAGCAATGATTTGTTGGTCCACCTTAGAAAGATTAGTAGTGGATGCCATACATTGTGGTACAATACTGCTGCCCTGTCCATTCGAAGGGTGAAAAAAGTTTAACTTAGTGGTGATGTCTTGTTCATGACTAATTTGCACGGTGAATATCTGTCCTGTTCTCTCTTGGCCTAACAGTATAATGATCAATCACTAGTATAAATAGCCGATTTCCACATGCCTAGGCTCCTGGGTAAACATATGTACAAACAGGTTAATTAATCAATTGCCTTAGAAATGTTTTCTGTATAGTACTGTATATATGATCTGTATATATAGAGGGTAAAATAATCATTATTTATTTATGAAAATGGGTAAACCATTAATTATAATCATACATGTTTCTAAGTTTATTTCAGGTTTTATTTTTCTCAGAAGCATAGGGGAAACGCCCAATACATCGAAACTCATTACCCATGGCCGGTCGAGAAAAAAATATATAGCACGATGAATTATCTCCATTATGATAATTTTTTCTTCTTATTTTTCTAATTAATTAAGATATACATATATTTCTTGGATGATTCCATCTCAATCGGTTAATACATATATCAGATTTATTCATACATGCATGGTTCTAAGCAGAGATTCTTTGCGTGGAGATGTAAACGGATGACAAAACTTTGCTTTCACAAACGTGCCTCCTGGGGTAAATTGATCGATCTTCAACTAGGATTTTTCACGTCAACCATAGACTTTTGCTTCTCTCTATTAGTTCAACAAAGCGTCCTAATCATATATAATTTCACAGAAATTTTCAGCAGGTACACGCGTTGTACGGGGGATATATAAGAAAATCAGGAAAAAATGTTAGCTTTCATTTTATCTTATGACGACGGAGCATGTAAATGAAGAGTACAGCGACAAATGAGCGATATAATAGTCACTATATGATTAGATGTCACAAAATGGCAGATGCAAGAGCATATATATGTGCATACTTGAAAAAGATGATCAAATATACTCACTCAGATCTATTTTTTAATAGATATTTTTTAATAGATAACGCTGTTGACATTTAAACACATATTTGACTATCATCTTATTCAAAATTTTATGCAAATGTATAATATATAAATCATACCTAAAATATTTTGAGTGATATAACAACACACAACCAAATAAATTATAATTACGTATTTTTTAATAAAACAAATGGTCAAAAATGTGACAAAATATCAATAGCGTTATCTATTAAAAATAGATGTAGCATGGTGCGGCTACTGTTTGATATAGACTTTTGGTCGTTGTAGTTTTGCATGAAGTCTGACCACACATGATGAGGTGCTTTATTCAGCGGTTTACATGTGGAGAGAAATGATCAAGCTAGCTATATCATCTTACATGTAATCACTACAATAAAATGGATTTACTCCCTCTATTTTAAATTAGTTCTCTTTTTTTAACTTTATCCTAATTAATTAGGTCAAATATTCCTAGCTAAGGGTCTGAATTTTTTTTAGCGGCATCTCCTCTCAGAATCAAAATACTTCCTTCAAATAGTCGTCTAGCTTTCCGTCCAGATTCTAATAAGAAACTATGCAGTTGTAAGTCAGAAAATAAACTGAAAACCAAAAGTTGTTTTTCACACCTTCTTCGAATTATCACCCACTGCTTATCAGAATATAAAGCTTCCCAAACCAGCCTTAAATTTTCTCTGAGATCAATCTAACAGAAAAAACAACTTTTAATTTGTCATGGCCCATGTGGTCTAGCTACTTCACTCACTTGTACCCTTCTTATGTTGTTATGCATCCATGCATACATGAAGCTTAGCTTAAATTAGTTAGATGGAGAGATCCCTAATTAATTAGCTTGACCAACAAAATCAGTTCGGCGCATGCATGCCAACAACCACCTCTCCATCTACCCCCTACTACGTACAAAAGAGCACAAGCCAATTATGCCATTGCTAGCATTAACTAACAAACAACAGGTACTCCCTCCACTCTTGTACTATATATACCCTACAAAACCTTGCCTCAAAGAACATCTCATATATACTGATTCCTACTCCCTGACAAAAGCCTCAGAAACACAAAAGAAATATTCCCTCTGCTTGTAAATATAATTTTTTATTCAAATTTTATATTTCCTCTTCTGTTTTAATTTATTACTTGTTGTTCTATCAAATCTCACAGGAGGCGTGGAAAATTACGTTTCTACTCTCATTAGTTACATCATAATCATCTTTCCGAAAACAAACATTAAAATTTCTTAGAGAAGTAGTACTAGCATGCATGTCTGTATTATTGAAGGATAGGAACAGAAAAACATTACTAAAAATGCTTTAGAATGTAAGAACACCAATTATTTTGACAAAAAAAAATTGAATGCTAGACCAGCAAGTAAATTGAAACAGGGGAGTACACAATATAAGCATTTTTGGTACGTGAATTTCAGTGCATGGAAATCTAAACATTTTTAGTTAATAAGGTGCTTATTAAGAGGGAAATTAAAGCAATTTAAAATTGACTAATGAGGTCACTTAAAGGGAATATTTTCTCTTAACTTTAATCTTGACTAAACAATCTAAAATTTTGTATTTTGGGAATGGAGGGAGTAGCTTATTAAGCTCAACTTTCCACCGAAGAAAAGGAACAAGGACTTCTCTCTTAAAAAGAAGCAGAAGTCTTCTTTTGCAGCCTTGCATGTTTTGGAGGTAATAGCTCATCAGTTGCTCTACTCTACATCTGCATACACACATGCTTACATGTTCCTTTTTTTTTTCTAAAAACAATTTCCTGAGAATTGGCTTGCAAGTATATATATACACACTGTATACGAATAAGTGGGAAAAAATATGGTGGAAACTATATATATATATATATATATATATATATATATATATATATATATATATATATATATGTAGTGGGAACCTAGCTAGAAACTATCGTTGGATCAAAAAATAGACGTCTGGGATTCATCAACGTCATCACGAGTAAAAATTTTACTCGTAAGTTTACTCATGAGTAAAAATTTTACTCCAACTTTTACTCATGGCGACGTGGACGAATCTTATACGTCCATTATTTTTCGATTCAATGGTAGTTTCTAGACTTCCACTATATATATATGGTTTGCATTACATATTTTCCTTAAATAAGCTGTGTTACACTCATAGTTTATAGTACTCCACTATATACTAGCACTGGCCCTCTCTTATCAGTAGACTAACACTCACTTGTAAGTTGTAACAAGCCTTAATGACACTACTACATGCAAGGAGATGTATCAAGATAGCTAGGAAAAAAAATTCAAAGAAGAGAGGGGTAAAGACACATTTCAAAGAAAGAAATGTAGTTCACCAGTGTGCATTAATTCTGTGATCATATGGGGACTAGCTAGCTTATGTGTGTGACATGACAAGAGCTTTTGCCTTTCCCCAACACCGAGATCAAGAGATGCTGTAGTTGAACTAGTAATGGACAAAAAGAAGGTGACATGCATATATACAAGCCAAAAAGAAGGTGAAGAAATTAAAGGAAGTCCATGGACTGTCACTCCTCATGAACTGCACTACTGGTTGTTGTCCTGTGCATCAAAAGGAATGAAAACAGCATGGAATTCAACCAACCGAGATCATCGATCGAATTAACGTTAATACGATGGTCTTATCAATCAGCACAGTCAATTAATTAATTTTCAAAAATTAAGAGAAGAGGGAGATGATGATGATGATGATTATGATGATTTTGCTAGCTGATCATGATCAAATCACAAAGTTAGCTAGATGCCTAGCTCAAGCTTGGATTGAGTTAATTCAATTAATTCAGCATGCATGTGCTCTACCTCTCATTAATTCTCTTAGTCTGAAAATCGCTGAATTTCTCTGTGTTTTACACTGTTGACGACGATGCATTGGCGAATGTGAACGCTCGCGAGCTCGCCGTCGCCGGCGGCGGCGAGGAGGAGGAAGAGGCCGACGAGCCGCCGCAGCTGCACTCGTCGCCGCCGTGCAGCCCGAGGTGGTTCAAGCACAGGCATATCTTCTCCCTCGTCTCCGAGTAGTGGTGGTGGTAGGTGTAGCTCGCCGTCGCTCCGGCGCGTCTCGCCTCTGCTTCGTGCGGCGGCGGCGGCGGGGAAGACGGCTGGGACGACGACGACGGCGGGCTTATGGACAGGTTGAGGTCGATGCCGCCGCGGTACTCGTCGCCGTCGCTGCAGCTGCTGTGGCCGCTTGTTGCGTCGGGCGAGCAGCTGGAGCCGCCGGCGGCGAGGTGGTGGTGGCCGGCGACGGCGGCGGCGGCATTGAGCGGGCGGTGCGTGAGCGGGTCGAGGCCGCGGGCGAGGAGCTTGCGCTTGATGTGGGTGTTCCAGTAGTTCTTGATCTCGTTGTCCGTCCTCCCCGGCAGCCTCCCGGCGATCAGCGACCACCTGACAAAAAGTATTAGCAATTGATTAGTCAATTACTCCCTAATTAATCACTAATTAAGATTGATTGATGGATTACTTGTTGCCGAGGAGCTCGTGGAGCTTGATGATGAGCTCGTCTTCCTCGTCGGTGAAGTTGCCGCGCTTGAGGTCGGGGCGGAGGTAGTTGATCCACCGGAGGCGGCAGCTCTTCCCGCAACGCAGCAACCCTATTACCATGTCAGTCAAACACAGTGATGAGTCAGTGATCGATCGCCGTCGTGTCGCCGCCGCCGCCGCGCCATGGCCGGAGTGAGAAGGTAGAGGCACGTATATACCGGCGGCCTTGGGGAGCGACCTCCAGCAGCCCTCGCCGTGCTGGTTGATGTGGGCGATGAGGCGCTGGTCCTCCTCCTTGGTCCACGCGCCCTTGTTCGTGTGCGCCTTCTCGCAGCACGGCGACCTCCCCATCGCTCCGAGCTGAGGAAGACGACGACGAAGACGATGGTGGAGAGTGGAGAGGAGGAAGAAGAGGAGGAGAGGGAGCTCGAGTTTATATGCATGGTGGCGCCATGGCGGATCGAACTCGAAGCGAGGAGAGAGGTTAGAGAAAGAAAGGGAGTGGGTCCCACTTGAGTGAGGTGAGGGACATTTGACCGAGTAGGTGGTGAGCGTGAGTGAGGTAGTGGTTGTTGCCGTTTGCGAGCTCGAAGCCCTAGGGTAGGGATGGATGGATGGATGGATTTGGTAGGTAGGTGGTGGTCTTGTGCGCCTCTTGTCCTATACTACTACCACTCTACTCCTACTATTGCATAAATTCATTTTGGTGTATATTATATCTTTTCTTTCTATTTCTCTTTTTATTCTATACGTTAAATGCATGTGTACGAACATCACTACATATTGATAGAAAATATGTACTACGAGTGAACCGCGCTATTTGAATTTAAGGTTAAAAAGAGACGGAAAGTTCTTTTAGCATCTAGGTGTTGCGGCACCTAGGCTGGCAACCACATGATGGCTTGAACATTCGTGCACACCTTTACCACACGATGTATTGTGTGGTCAGTGAGAAAATACAGCACGAATCGCTGAACAGATCTAATGTCTTCTAGCTTAGGTGCTGCTGCATCTAGGTGTAGAAAAAACTGTATTCTAGAAAGAGATAAATGTTGGCAATGAATTTTTAAGTTCCGCGTCGATATAAAGTTCATTTGTGATCAGCAAGATTGAATTTCGGTGGGTGAAGCCATGCGAGTATGCTAGCTACCATCCTTATTCCAAATTTCAAACATCTCTTCCTCCATTTCCTTCTCCATATATGTTTGCAGTGGTGTCGGTTTTTTTCCTGCTTTATTATATATATATATTACAATTTTTTTGAATGATTTGGTTCAGCCAGCGGTGGTGTAAAAAGGCATAAAAATGAAAAGAATTTTGTGCGAAAACCTACGGAAAAAACTAGACAAATGACCACAATTGAATGTAAAATGGAGTAGCATTCAAAAATTGTTTAAAAAGAGTTTACTTGGAGCCCCTTACCTACCCTCATCCAACAAATCAAGGTAGTGTTTTAAATGAGTCATGTCCCTTTAATATCTCCTACGCTTCTGCCTACCCATTTGGCAATACAATTTTTCTATTAATAGGCACTTTGGTATTTTCCCTCCCTACTGGTTTATTTTTGAAATGACTACAAATCACTCTTTTTTGGGATAGAGGAACTAGTAAATAATGAATCCTGTAGGGTAAGATTTCTGGGCTGTCACTGGGTTCCGTTTATGCATGAAACCATGAAAAGTTCTTATGTTTCCTAGGAAAGGAGGCCTTGTGGGGTGTGCTATGGCTGTGTTTAGATTCAAAGTTTGAATCCAAATTTCATTCCTTTTCCATCACATCAACCTGTCATACACGCACAACTTTTCAGTCACATCATCTTTAATTTCAACCAAAATCCAAACTTTACGCTGAACTAAACACAGCCTATGTCTAACTTAAATTATTGATCCTAACGCATGCAGGAACACTAATTCACATATTTGTTACAGGGAATTGATTTCTAACTCTGTGAAAATTGCAAAAAAAAATGATATATCCCTAAATTGTAATTTTTGCTAACTCTCAGCACTTTTCAACTATAATAGAAAAAGTCTTTTTGGATTTCTTTGTCGAAAGTCTAGTCATGGAAGTAGGCCAATTTATACTACTACGAGTGTTTTTTTTTCTGGATTAACCATGCATACAGTTTTTTTTATCATGCTATAATGTGTAGCAGTAACAATTAAAAGCATATCTAAATGAATTATAAACGCTAAAACCATGCAAATATATATGAATCAATTATAAAACGGTAAAACCATGCATATAAATGCATAGTATAGTATGTTTCCACGACCAACATTTGATGAATAATAGAGCATGTGGTAGTACTAGTACCAAGTACCAACCTTTGACATTGACAAGCTTAATTAGGAACTGTTCGATCGGTACATGCATATACCCCTGTCCTCTCTTGAAAGTACCATCCTGCTGCTTAATTAGTTCCCCTACTTAACAGGCACTTTAATTTCTAACAGTACGTAGTACTAGCTATAGTTAGGAGCTATCTAAAATCTCTTTTTAAGTTTCTAGAACTAAACTCAAGCAAGCATGTCATTTTCTTAATTTGACAAAATATATAGGAAATCTGCCCAAAAAAACAGAGGTTAAGCACACTAGCTAGAAATTAGATGGTACTGCTAGATAATTGATACTCCCTCTCTACGTTTCATAGTATAAGTTGTATGACTTTCTCTTAGTTAAATTTCTTTAGGTTTGACCAATTTTTATTAAAAAAATTAGCAACATCTACAACACTAGATTAGTTTCATCAAATTTAACATTGAATATATTTTGATAATATATTTATTATGTATTGAAAATATTACTATATTTTTTATAAACTTGATCAAACTTAAACAAGTTTAACTAAGAAAAAAGACAAACGACTATAATATGAAACAGGGGAGTATAATATTAAAAACCCTTAATTTACTTTTTTAAAAATCAAATATGGTTCTGAAACAAAATTGGTTAGGTGAACAAAAACCCTTTGCCCTTTTTTGTGTTTGAATTGGTTACTGCATGCCTTTCTGTTTACTAATTGAGGACTAATTAACCTTTTCAGCATTTGATCACGTACGCACCTGTTGCAGGAGAAGGGGAAGATTCCTTGGCTTCATCAGAATTGAAATAATTAATTATATATTATCTCAATTCCAAGAAACAGCTAGCTTATTAATTCAATTACCTTGGTGTTTGGTAGCCCTCACCTGCTCTAGCTTGTCTTTTTCCACTATATATGTTAATTTATTTATATGTGTACAAGAACACAGAGCAAACTTTTCCCGAATTGGAGCGTTCTTGCTGGGGCCAAAAAGCCGCGAAACAATGCAAGAAACAGTGTGAGCTGCCCAGTGTTGCAATGTCGCTGTACTTAGACCATTTGAAATCTAAAGAAATCCGGTGTTAAATGGCCATTTAAACTTTCCTGGGATATCAATCAATCAATCAATCAGTAGTATTACATGTCAAGAGAAAAAGTAGTATTAGGGGCTTGCTAGCTAGGGCCTGTTTAGATCAATTTGTTGTGGCAAATTTTTTTTATAAAAGTTTTGTTGGCAAAAGATTTGTCATTGAAGTTTTGTTAGTTGGTGTTTAGATGTATGGTAAAATTTTGCCATTTTACAAGTAAGGTCTTGTTTGGATCTTTAGTCACTGAACTAAAATTAGTCCATGGACTAAAAACTTTAGTCCCCTACTGTTTGGATCCAGGGACTAAAGGCACATAGACCGAGGAGAGAGAAGAGAGAGGCTGCCACTTTAGTCCCTATAAGTATCTCCAAGAGGGACTAATGGATTTTAGTCCCTTTAATCACCCCTGTTTGGATTCTTAGGGACTCACTGGTGGAGAAACCCTTTGTAGTCCCGGTTCGTAACCCCCCTTTAGTCCCGATTTCCAAACCGGGAGTACCAATCGGGACTAAAGATCGCTATCTTTAGTCCCGGGTGAAATAACCGGGAGTAAAGATCGATCTTTAGTCCCGGTTGGTGTTACCAACCGGGTCTAAAGATCGAGCTGACCTTTTTTTTTTGCATGGCCCTGTTGCTGCATGGTTTATATATATATATATATATATATATATATATATATATATATATATATATATATATATATAAACCATGCATATATATGTTTCAATACATATATATGCATACATATATATATATATGTATATATATATATATTATATTATATTATATGTATATACATGCATAATATATATGTATTTATACATATATATGTTATGCAAATGCATATGTATATAGATATATATATGACCAAAATATATTTACATTATAGAAAATGTGTACACATGCATATAGAAACATATGTAGTCATGTATTAATTACAATCCATTATATGTCCTAGCTAGCTACGATTTCGACGTAGTAGTACTCGCTGCTAGCTCAGAAGCTAAGGACCGGTGAATTGTGTTTCCGTCGTAGTAGAATTCACCCTTGGGATCAAGGATTTCTTCGTTGATGAATCCCATGAGTTGTTCTTGAACCGCCACGATAAATTCCTTGTGTGTGGTCAGGTTATCCCTCATGCGAATAAACTATATGAATGTATGAAATTGATTAGTAATTAAACAAGAAATCGCTACGTAATGAAATTTTGAATTTATTTGTACGTACATCGAGCTCTCTTGTGGTGATGATTTGGTCTGCAAGGCAGTGGCAATACTCGCACACGTAATAGCCGCACAAGTTAGTTCCCTGCTTTTGCTTTGCGCACTACAAATAAATGACAAACAACGAGAGATCTAATTAATATACACTTGTATGTATTTGAATCGGAGAAATATAAATGTAGAGGATGTGTACTCACAGAAAATTTGAACTTCCGCCTAAGTCTTTCTCTCCATTTGCCGCGGACCAAATGACGGAACCGATACCAAGCCCTACATGGAGTTTAAAGCTATGATTCGTAGTAGTAATTAACATAACAAGATTTTCTTAATTAACAAAGGAACTTATGACGGTACCTGTCTATAAGTTCGAAAACCTTGTCAAACGTAGACTCTTTTTTATCCATTGAGTCATATACGTTGACGGTGCAGGCCTCCAGGTCGAAGAGTAAAAGCACCCAGTGGAATCTGCAATGTGCGTGGGATGCATTACATATGAAACACTTAGCAAGTTCGTACGGGAATGAAATTTGGTATGTAGGAAGACAGTAAAATTAAACTAACTCTGTGTTGTATGGCAACAGTATGAATGTCTTGTAATGCTGCGCCTTCAGGAGATGGACGAGATTGTCCTATGTTTCTTGTGGATATTGGTCGAGCATTGCGACGTTTACTTTCCGAGGGTCGATGAATCCAGTATCGAAAACCCTCCGCCGTCGGGCCCTTTGAATCTCCATTCTACAACGATAAAAGGGAGTATATTATTTTCTATAGTCTACTTATATACAAGGACCTAATTAATTAAAGGAGACGTATAGTAAGAAATCTAACTGAACGATATACTTACAAAATCTAGCAACTCATAATAGAGACGTCGAGGGCGTCCAGCTGGTATAGTTCGTAGATTCCCCTGAAATTGATCCAGAGAATGTCATCTCCTTGCAAGAAGTCCGTGTCCCTGATCCTCGCTCCGATCATCTCTCTACCGGTGGCGCTCA